ATGTGGTCAGTACATGACCTGTCTTGACGAAAACCAGATTGTTCTTGTCTCAGCTTTTTGTCCAAGGTATCTCTAAGTCTCTCTAGGATGATTCTTGTCAGCACGTTACTTTGGACTGAAAGAAGCATTATATTCAACCAACTGGACACCTATCCCCACCCTTAGATTGTGTATTTATTCTGTAGATATTCAACCAACTAGACACCTACCCCCACCCTTAGATTGTGTGTTTATTCTGTAGATATTCAACCAACTGGACACCTACCCCCACCCTTAGATTGTGTATTTATTCTGTAGATATTCAACCAACTGGGTGCCTACCCCCACCCTTAGATTGTGTATTTATTCTGTAGATATTCAACCAACTGGACACCTACCCCCACCCTTAGATTGTGTTTATTCTGTAGATATTCAACCAACTGGGTGCCTACCCCCACCCTTAGATTGTGTATTTATTCTGTAGATATTCAACCAACTGGACACCTACCCCCCTCATTAGATTGTGTATTTATTCTGTAGATATTCAACCAACTGGACACCTACCCCCACCCTTAGATTGTGTATTTATTCTGTAGATATTCAACCAACTGGACACCTACCCCCACCATTAGATTGTGTATTTATTCTGTAGATATTCAACCAACTGGACACCTACCCACACCCTTAGATTGTGTATTTATTCTGTAGATATTCAACCAACTGGACACCTACCCCCACCCTTAGATTATGTATTTATTCTGTAGATATTCAACCAACTGGACACATACCCCCACCCTTAGATTGTGTATTTATTCTGTAGATATTCAACCAACTGGACACATACCCCCACCCTTAGATTGTGTATTTATTCTGTAGATATTCAACCAACTGGACACCTACCTCCACCTTCAAGTCCCAGCAGAAATGTTTCCTCTCTCTGTATTGTTTGACAAGATGGAGACAGCCAAGAAAGATCTCGACCTTGAACATTTCACCATACAGCAGGCATCACTGGAACAAGTTTTTCTCATGTTCATGAATAAAAGCAAGGCACAAGATCAGTCATGTTAGCATGAGATTCAGATTATTTAGTCTCATTTATTCATTTCTAATAACAGTAAAGTTTTATCAAAATTATCTCCCTTCCTTGTTTTAAAATAAAATAAAATACCAATAATTGAAATTATTTCCCTTTATGAGTTTTTTTTTTATTTCTTTTGATTAACATTGTTAACAATATTATTTCTCATTTTTCATCTTTAAATGTTGTTTTTGGAAACACTTCACTTTTATTCCAATGTTATAAGACAGTTTTTGTTGACATTTATAATACATATTACTTATTTATTTCCGCATGTCACAGGAGGGGCAAGGGTGTAAGGAACTCAAAGCCTGAACACAATGTTTTATCAGCTAAATCTGTGTAAGTCTATATAAAAACAGAGTTTTTTTGTGTCTTTCAAATGTATGTTAAACCAAATAAATTAAAAACAACACATCATATTGTTATCATATTTTATTATTTTTAAGTGTAAAAAAACCCATAATGAACAGATCTTAAAAATGAATGGAGATTTTAAAAACAATTATCTTATACAATTTTTATTAAGTTTAATTTCAATTAGTATGTAAATTTTAAAATGGAATTACAATTGCAGATTTAGCTATTATGAAATATGAAAATAATTAAAAACATACTTTTATTTCCATGCTGCTCATATAGATTTTATATTTGATAAAGACCATAATTTATAGATCTAACAGATAATAATTTTTAGATCTTTTAAATTTAAAATTATGTTGAATGAAATTTTTTTTACTAACAAAGTTTCAGCTAAAAAAAAGCTATTATAATAAAAACAATTTGTTTTCTTGCAAGGCATACTAAATTATTGGACAAATCAAATTGTGAACATTTATATGTTTTAAAAAATGATATGTTTAGATGTATATTTTTTCCTCAATATACTTTTTGTCCAATCGATCAAAATTTAAGCACTTATCACATACTCATTGCATATTAATAATACTAAACACATATCAAACTGAAGTAAAAAGATACTGACATAAAAATCAATTGTCTGTCAGTTTCTTAGTAATGTCATTTGAGTATAACAAAATACTGAATTCGCTTCTCTATACTCAGAAAATTTGTTGCATGTCTACTGTTAAAATCTAAAACTCCTCTACTCAAAAAAATAAGAAGTTATTCAACAAGTGTTCAGCAGGTCATGGTATGGTGTATAAACAATAAGCCATATATAAATCCTGGCTGTGCTATTTAAACTAAATTATTTAAAAAAAATATCTAATTTGATTTTTAGAATGGTAACAGTAATTACTGACTTGTAAAAATCAATGTATAACGTTTAAGTACTGTAGACCTACTTAAAATAAACCCTTCAATTGGTATTAAAACAAAACAAAAAACCCCATAGAAAGATACATTTTCAAATGTACTCATCAAATACAAATCCAGAAATATGAAATCATGGTTATTAATAAAAAAAGATTGGTAACTTTTTAAATAACAAGCTCTATAACACAAGAAAGTAAGAAAAAAATTAACATTTTTATTCTTAAGATATATTAGTGTAAATAGTAGTTGAATTGAAATTATATTTAAGTGATTAATTCTTTTACTATTAGATCTAAAGAAAGAGTATTTTGATTTTCTCCTTATTTTTATTTTCTACTTTTAATTATCAAGAAATTGTAAACATTAATTTTTTTTTTAACAATTGGGTACCAATTTATCACTTCCATTTTGAAAACTTAATTTAGTTTAGAAGTCAGCAACATACAAACTAAAAATGTGTATTATCTGCCACTTATTGATGTTTGTCTTTGCTCAAAGATTTGATAGCAACATTCATGATCACCAGCTGACCTAAGTGAAAGCCATCACATTGTTATTTTCCCTTTTTAAAAATTATATATAGTAGCCTTTCATCTTTTATGACTAGTGTAATATAATAATCATTAGATTAAAAATTAGATTGATGTTTGAAGATTTGACTACAAGCCCACAAAAGACTGACTGAAGAAAAAGCTTTTAAAAATACAATTTCTTTGTCTTGGTAAAAAAATCAAATACAAAATTCACTCACTGGCTTGAGTTATCTGTCCAGAAATAAATAGCAGCAGCAATGATAAAATATTTATCTAAATATGATAATAATACATTGTTTACAAAAGCTGTGGAATAATAAACCAATACATTTGCTTATTGAAATTATTTTATTTTGTTCTTTAGGGTAGATTAAAAATATTTTAAGATATGGAATGTTAAAGCATGGCATATGGTTGATAAAAAATATAATTTTTTGTATTTCCTGTATTTAAAATAGTATAAAGATATATTGTAACATAATGTTTGGTGATAAAATTGTGTGATGAATTACAAAAACGTTTTGAAATACTTAAGTAAGATAGAACTTCAGTGATACATAGTAGTATTGTTACAGTATTTTAAACTAATTATATCTTCACCATTAAGTAGTTGCCATTAATTGGAACATACCTATATATTTTACAAAGACAATATCTTTACTATAAAAATTAATACTGATCAGGTAATTAATAATTAAGCCCTAATCTTAAACAAAATTTTTTTTGGGTCTACTTTGGGAGCTCTATAATAGGATAAATATTATAAATGTAACAAGTTAGTTCAGTTTTCTTAATTAAAATCAAACATTTTCCTACATATATTATATAATATCAGAAAAGGGCAACAAATTTACAGCTAAAACATACCTATTCAGGTTTTACAACACACTACACAGGAACTTAAAATAACATTATTATCCCAGTTGCAGATGCCGCTAAATAAATGAAATAATAGCTATCTATTTTGTACATTTTTCAAATCAAATGAAAAATTTCAACACAATAATATTTTGATAACACAGGCACATTTTTAAAATATGTAAATTGGTAAGGCACATGGAAAAATATTAAAAATTTTACTAACAAAATGGCCAATCTATTTAATGCATTAAAAAACCCAACTACTCCTTGCAATTTTTTATTTTAAAATGACTTCAATCACATTGATCATTAAAAAGTGTAAATATAATTAAAATATATAAAACTATTCCTAAATAAAAAGAGAATTATTTAAAATTATAGAACAACCATTTAAGAATGATAGCTGACATTCCTTTTTTATAGTTTCCTTTCTTCTAATTTGCATTAAACAGAATAAAGCATCAAATAATTTCTACCAATGTAGAATCAATTATATAATTATTCAACCAGAATTAAGTTGTTAACATGAATATAAGCAATACTATGTCTTTCAAGGTGTTACACATTAAGAATTGATTGAAAAAAAATCTGAAAGAGGGTAATTTTGTATATATGATACAATCCTTAAGTTAAATAATGAGATTTTATGAAGTATAATAAAAACCAACAGAATGTACATATCACTGGTATATTAAATGGAGTTTTAAAAATATAATAAGAATATATTTTTTAAATAAATAAATATATTTATATTGGAATTAAATAATAATTGTTACAGTATAAGGCACTGAGTGCTTATGTTAAACAAACAATTGAGCAGTTTGTTACATAAACAGTTGCTGTACTTTTTACAATTAACTAATAGATTAAACAATTATTGCATTGTTTTACCATTATTAATAGTTTAGTAGGTGAAAGATAGTGGGTATTTGGAATGGCGATACATCAACTGGAATATTTAGAGTAAATAAGTTAAGTACATTAATTTTAAGAAATTTATTCTCCAATAGTCACATCAAAAATATTTAACCCTTACAGCATCAGTCTCCTCCTGCCCAGACATTATTTTTTCATGAACACAATCCTAATAGGGTTAAACAATTTTTTTTTCTATTTTTGTTTAGAACAATTGATACTGACATGTAAATACTATCTATATAATTTTATATATTGAATTATATTTTGCATATATATATATATATATATATATATATATATATATATATATATATATATATATATATATCAGATAAATATCTCTGGGCATGAGAAAATAGTAGAAAAATCTAATTGTGTTCACCTCTGCATAAATGGGGAAAAAAAATTGAATATGGAGAAGGAAATGCCAGGGACTGCGATCAGTTAAAACTAAAACTCCCCAACATTAAAGCTATTTAAAAACTATTGTTACTTAAAGAGAAACAGTATTTACTGCTTTGCTTGCATGTGGATCCAGAAGTTGATACTTGTCTTCCAGGAGCCTTTGAGAGCCTCATCGAACGTGTATCTAAAGTGAGTCAGGGCATCGGCCTCCGACATATCAGGCACTAGGGTCTCCCGCAGGTAGTTGACGTCCTTTGGACTGGTCAGCTGAGGGATGCCGCTCGTTAACATCATCATGAACAGGGATATCAACAGAGAGTATTTACGGCGTAGGATGAGGTAGGCTTTTTCACACATGGTCTGAAATCTGAAAAAAAAGGATTAAATTTTAACTTAAAAAATTTCTAATTCTGAATTTGTAAAAAAAATAAAATATTTAAAAAATGTAATATAGATGTTTTTATACTCTGGCCTAAATAACTTTCGCTTTTCCAAAATTCTACTTAACTAGATACATGTAATGAATCTAGTAAGAAAAAAAAGCACAAATATAAATGATTATTCAGTAAGCAATTTTATTTTAAATGCAGTATAATAAGTTAAGTAATATGCAAAAGTATTTATGGATGGTAAAAATAATTTAGTCTGGAATAATTATTTTAAAACCTCTAAAAGAAAAGCTGGAATAAAAAGATATAGATATAGAAGTGACTGTGGTTAGTGTTGACCAAAGCCACAGGAACAAAAAATGACTCCTGTCAATTACCCCCTGACCAGTTAAGGAAGGGTTAGGTTAAGATTAGTGTTATGGTTACGGTCAGTGTTCTTCTTTGGGGGGGGGGGGGGGGTAATTGACAGGGAGTAATGACTCGGGAGGGGGGATGTCCAGGGGAATGTCTGGTTGGGGGGTAATTAATGTGTAGGGGGTTAATGTCCTAGACCCATTAAACATCTGGTCTGAAAGCACAACTCACATTAGCTCTATGAGACAAAATGATGATTTTTTAATTATCAGGATGCAACTTTTTTTTTACCTCTTAAAGTTGTCAGGAGCTGCACCATTTTTGTTGATGAGGCAAACAAAGTGGGTGGTCAGGACAAATGGAACTCTCTCTCTCTTCACATGGAACTTGCTCTTAAAGTTGCCCAGGAAGTGGCCAAAGTCTATGTGAAACAACTGTATGGGGAGAATTATGAGTTGTATCATTGGAAATAAGGTTGGCACATGCTGAAATTTGTGTATGGGTTGAAAGATCAGCCCCTCCCCCCCTGCTATTATATAATAAAATGTAGAATAAATAGTAGGAAATGCATCAGTAACATCTATTTTTAATGTTATAGCAACACTGTAATGTAACCCTGGAATGAAACTTAATGGTTTTCAAAAACAAGATTCAAAAATGCAAAATGGGAAGTAATATTGAGAGGTCACAAGTAATTCATGTTTTTAGACTAACAAAATTGCTAAATCAAAAAGTCCTGATAGCAGAATAGTGTTTTTCTTCTGGAGCCCACAATATTCAGGAGAAGTGAGATAAAAATGTAAAATATCTTGTAAGAAAGGTGATTTTCTCAATATTGAGCGGTTATAGCTTAGTTTTCAAATCTAGACATGCCAGGTAGAAAAAAAATTTGATTTCTAAAAAAAATATTACACTGTCCACAAAAAAAAAAGAAGCTGAATGTAACCCATGATTAACATTCATGAACAAAATTCTATATCAATTGAATTAAGTTTGATTACAATATAGTAAAAAAAAATAGCAAAAAAATATAATAAATAGAATGAAAATTGTAAAAAAAGTGATGAAAGCTACCTGTCCTGATGTTTTCATCATGATGTTGTCATTGTGCCTGTCTCCAATGCCAAGGACATATGTGGCTACACAGTACCCTGCACAAGACATGAGGAACTCTTCAACTGCTGCATTCAGACTGAAAACACAAAAGGTTTGTGAATGAAAATAAGAAATTTAACTTTAAAATAAAACACTATAAAATTAATGATCATGCACTAAAATAGAAAAGTTTAAAATGTGCATAAAAGTTATTAATGATTTCTGTTATAATTATTATTTATTTATTACTTTACATATGTTTATCTTAAATTAAAATATTATTAATGTATTTTTAAAAAAAATAGGTTATTTACTGCATTATGAGGTTATTTACTGCATCATGACTATAAAATAAAACAATGTCACTAGCATCAGACCTTTTTTCATCTGGATTTTTTTGTTTGAGCCATTCGAACAAGGCCTTTTTGTCAAAAGCACTTTTGTTGTACCACCTCTGGATATTGGCCATAGTATCTGCTGGTGTCACCACCTCAATCATGCCTTGTTCCCTGTCAGTGGCCATGCACATGTAAGGATTCATCCTGGAGAAATGTGCAAGAGATTCAGTTGACAAAAAGATACTTTTGTCACATTAAATTACTTGTCACTTTATGCTACATTTGCTGCATTCATCTAATAGGCTGTTACTAACATTTAATTAACTATATATTTTAAAAGATTTGATGCTCAAAACAAACTAATGTTTGTGAGCTATAGCCAACAAATACCTAAAATCTAAACCTTCAGCTTGCCAGATGTTGTCCATGACCTGAAGAATTTGTAAAGTCAGCATGTCTTGTCGTAGATCTATTAAAAAATCATATTTGTTTATGTTTATTTAAAATTATACATGTTTAAATTTTCACTAATATTTTAATAATTACATTTAATAATAAAGCTTTCAATTTTCACAGATTTTTAAAAATTTAATTTTTAAGTTTAAATTTTCACAGAAATTTAAAACATGTAATTATTTTTTATACATTTTTAATTTTTCCAGAAATTTTAAAAATTTAATTTAATTAAACAAATATTTAAATTTTCACAGATATTTTTAATATTATACTAATATTGTGGATATAACATAATATAAATTCATAGATTTTTAAATTATGGTTAATTCTAAAATCAAACATACCATCACCATTTTTGTATATGATCTGTATATCTGGGCCAATACTGTCAGCATTTGACCAGACCAGCCAAAGAGGTCGCTTTTTGGAATTCATGAATTTACATTTCTCGATTCTGGTTTAAGTCACCATAATAATTAAATAAGTTATTACAATTGTAGATGTAGCTAACATTTCAACGATAAATTTAAAAAAAACTTTTTTTATAATAAAATACTTACTTCAACTCTTTCATTTTAAACAAAGGAGATAAAGGGCTAGAAAGCTCTGTGAAAAATTTCCTAAAAGTTGGTTGCTCCAAAACCTTTTGCATCATGGACTTTGCTTCTTCTCTCTTAGCCTGAAAAAATAATTTTATATAGCATTTTATAAAGCATACTAACACATCTACATATAATTTTTTCCAAAAAATTAATTGTTTATCCACTGCGCATGTTTAAAATTTAAAACAAACCTAATCTATACAAAATAAACAAATTGAGAAGATAAACATCACATTTAGACAATATTTAATACGAGCCGACCCGCGGCGTATTATACGCCGCTATTTAGTTGTTTTATTTTCTACTTTTCAGTAATTCATAATTTGTGAATTCGACAGTACCAATGCTGCCACTGAAAATATTGCTTTAAAACACTAACCCCCCCCCCCTTTCCCCTAACCCCGACCCTACACCCCCCCCCCCCCCGTGAAAGCAGCCTCCTCTTAGTTACCTCCTGTAAGTTTAAAATCGTTTCAAGCTAAATTATCTGCCCCTAATAGCCGTCACTAAACCCAGCTCTACGATTTGTAAACATTTAGGCCTAGCGTGACCACAACTCACCAGACCATGTGGGGGTGGGGGGGGGGGGGGTGGTAGCGATAGTGCTAGAGAGAAAGAGAGGGGACTGCAAGGATGCGCTTGCAGCTTGTTTTCTAGCGTCTCCCAGAAGAGAATTATATATATAGATGATAAAAAAAAACATCACTGTTTTACATATTAGTTAAAATTGGAAGTGATTCAATATAATTTTAAGAAAAATATATATTAACAATATAACTTTTACACACCTCATCATTAACTTTACAATCTTTTATAAGTGAGTTTAAAGCAAAAAGCTTTTTTAATGCATCTTGTTGTTTCATGAGAACATGAAGATGATCAGGGTTGTTGGTCAGGTACATCTTTAATAGCAGACTGTACTGAGTAGTAACAGAGGGGTTGTGGATCTCAGACCTAGTGAAGAGGAACTTGCCATTAGTACTTTTTTTGGTCAGACAAAATTTTGGCCAAAACACAAACACTGCATAATCTAGTAGAGATAGATAAATTAATTAATTGTTTTAAAATAAAATAGGGTTATATTTTTTTACCATTATCTAGTCTAAAAATATCAGACAGTTTTTCAAGCAGATATAAGTCTGAAAGAAAATGTCTGACAACACATTTAAAACATTGATCCGTATAATAATTCTTAAATACTACATAAGTACAATTTTTAACCTGAGAAGCCAGAACAATTTGTGACCTAAATGCTGATTTTTGAGTGCTCTGGTCAACAGGAGCTCTGCTAGTGGACAAATGAGATGAGTCTCAAATTTTAAAGCTTGGACCAACTGTAACATATACTGGGAGAAATCATCATCCCTGGAGAAATTTATACACATTTATTTTCAAAGAAAAGCAATGAGGTTATGCATAAATATTACAAATAATGACCAAAAGTATATCCTTATTAAAAACAAAATATTTTCAAAAACTATTCATTGGTTAGTTGTAGTATATACTTTAAAAACTTGATTAAAAAACTAAATGAAATTAAAATTTATTTACCCAAGATCTTCATCCAAACATTTGACAGCAAACTTTCTTACATTATGATCAGGGTACTCGTGGCCAAGAATTTCCAAGGCATAGTCTGCAGGCAGAAGTGGCCAGGCATTTAGTAGTGCAGTCATCTGAAAACAATATGCCAGATATTTCAACTTGAATTTTACATTATTTAAAAAATATATATATTTGATTAGTTCTAGATACACTTGTATGATTCTGTTGAACTGTCTTACTTAAGCTTTGAATAGAAGAGCCCAAAATTTGTTTAGAAAACCCAAGGTCTAAAACAAAACAAAAAAAGAATTCCCTACTAAATGTAGCCAGCTACATGTACCACTCTCTATGGTTTAATTCTGATATGCCCCAACATAAAAAAACAAACTAAGTGGGTTATGTTCCAAAGTATTCTCCATACCTATTTAGGCACATTTTTTACCACCCTTGTAAACATGACCTGACCAAAGTACAAAAAAACAAACAAAAATTGAAATCATACATAAAAAAACCCCACGCCCAATAATTTGTTTAGAGTTACCTTGGCAACATCAACATAATTATTCCATTTGACAGACTGTAGAACTCTAGATAAATGGTGGGGGAACTTCTCTTGGACAAAGTGGCGTAGCTTCCACACAAGGTCCTTATCTTGTTCAAACAGCTGTTCTGGGCAACTGAGGATTTGTTCCAGTTGGTTCTGGTAGAGGATACCTGCACAGCTGATCTAAAGAGTAAACAAAACTATTTTTGTTCTAAACAGTTAACAAAACAATTTTGGTCTAAACAGTTAACAAAACTATTTTTGTCTAAGCAGTAAAGAAAACGATTGGCATAAATAGTTAACAAAACAATTTTGGTCTAAATAGTAAAGAAAATTTTGGTCTAAACAAATAACAGAAAAATTGGTTTAAACAATACAACAAAACAATTGGTATAAATAGAAGAAATCATAGTTGCAGAATACAATTATCCCATCATTCCAATTTTTCTATTAAAACAGTTTTCTTTCATTATGCAATAGGACTGAACAAAACAATTTAAAACATAAAAACAAAAAAATCACTTACTGGAGAGCTTATACTGCCAACAGGTTCCATGTGTTTAGAAGCATATTCCAAAACCTGTGTATTAAAAAAAAGTTACTTATAATTTTTAGTATAATAATTTAATATTTATTAATAATATTGATTTTTAATTATTTTTTTTATTTAATAGTCAAAAACCATAAACAGATTGATTTTGCATGTCCAAGAATTTTGAATCAACTACATTTCTGTGTTAAGTATTTGTACGGGGTAAACACACAATTGGCTTAATCATGATAAACAACACTTAAAATGAACTCATTAAATAACAGATAAAGTATGGCATGCAAATCTTTTAAAATGGATAATAATTCTGAAACCATCAGCAGCAATAAGTTAACATGGTATATTTCCTTATTGAAAATTAAAAAAAAATTATAGTTTTTTTAGCGCAATTTCCATACTGGCAATTGCGATTATTAATTCGTTATTTCTGGATGGATGGATGGATGTGTATCCGCAGCTTTAAGTCGTATCTCCTCCTCAATGAAGCAATATCGAGGACTAGTTCCAAAAGCAAATATGTTAAGCAAGTTCCGAGGATGATTGTGGGCCAAAAAAATTCCCGCAATTCCTTCCTGGATTTCCCGGAAACGCCAAAAAACCTCGAAAAAATGCAGTTTTTGGCCCATATCTTGGCAACTAGACCACTTAGCGACTTGAAACATTTACCAATCAATTCCTGCCATAATTTAGAACAATATTGCCGAAGAAAGTTTTCAAAAATATCCTTTCGTTCGGTCACAAAATTTAAAAAAAAATTTCATTATACATAATACACTACAGTACTATATAGCAATATATAGATATAGATCTATGGGGAAATTGCGCTTAAATTGTCAATAGACTTTTTATTAACTTGTTTTTAAAAAGCCAAATCTTTTAAGGGTATTTAACAATAGTTTACATACTATATCATAGGATGGGTAGGTGACATAAGAGCCTCCGCAACCTTCTATATCAGGGAAGCTTATCTTAAGGATAGTTGCCTCAGTGCTTTGTGCATTTAGTGCCACACCACCTGTTGCATAAAACAGAGGAAAGAATAGAGCCTATTAAAATTGTACAACATAATAATTTGTGCATTAATAAAAAATATGATCCTAAAATAAAATAAAAAATTAGTAGCAATTTATGTGTGAATAGACAATTACTATGAAAACATATACATTAACAATTTACACCACTTTGTGAATGAAAAATCAATACAACCCATAAACTTAGTAGGCCCTACTACATAAAGCTTTATAAATAAACAACAACTGAAACTGATAAAATAAAACAAATGAAATAAAAGTCAACTATATAATTTTGAACCAAAGAAAGGATAAATTCTCTTACCTAAGGGGTAACAGTACTCTTCTGATTGTTGTAAAATGTCCTGTGGCCACATGGGCAGCTCCCTGTCCCCACGCTGAAGCCGATACTTGAAGTCATACACAGAAATGTTTACCCATGAAACCAGATCCTGAAAGTATTCATTTTTTTTGTGGGTGTCAGAACTACTATCCAATCTTTATTTAAATATACAAGTTTTATTTTAACTAACATATACTTTTGCTATATTAAGGAAATTAATTTCTTGGTAAATTCATCAAATTTTTAGGAATCCCAACTATTTAATCATCTAAGAGAAAACTTGCTCAGATTTTTTAAAGCTATGGTAAAATATCTTTTAAATTTATGCGCCAAGCTAATGATAAATTGGATGGGCAATAACAATAATAATAAGGTTATTTATGCACTGGGGAATACTGTGTATTAATCTTAAATGAAGATACTTTAGGCATGAAGTATCTTAACACCATATCAGGAGAATGAACACAAGACATTTCAAGAAAAAAGGGCTTTAATAAACTAACAGATTGCACCAGATGGATACAGTACAAATACAGTACATAGATGAAACAAAATAAAGATATGGTAACAAATAGGGAATATCTAGCTGATGATAATAATCTTAAAACATCCAAACTTAATTTTGCTGACATTTATTTTCATTAAACCATCAAAACTAAACAAAAATTTGAACTTGAGTTTAATATATTTTGACAATAATTCTAACCTTTCTTTTATTATTTCCTCCGAAAGCGTACAAGGCAAAGCAGAGCCTAGCACAGTGAGGGAGATTGGCCACACTAATATCAAACGTGATATCCTGTTTCAATACGCAAGAGTTGTCTTTGACTATTAAGTCGTCTATTCCTTTCTCATCACACAGAGGTTCAGCTCCATGGTAAATACCAGCATACAACTTCATCTTCCAAAAGGGAAATTAGCAATGCACCGGAAAATTTAAAAAAAGAAATATATATGAATTAGGCATGAATTAATTTTTAAATATAAAATATAAAGAAAATTGGATTTTAACACAATAGTTTTAAATTCATTCGCTAATAGCAATGATAATCCTGTTTGTCTTTATTTACATGTGCTCTATGATTTTACTACAACTACCACAGATAAGGCAAAAATATTGAAGCCAGAATTAAGGAATGCGAATACTATAGTATTACTTGACAAAGAAGATTTTAAAAAATGGTGAAACAAACTATAAAAAGAAAAAAATATAGTAGTTGATCTGGCTTTCATATACAAAAACCATGTGTACCAGGATAGAGTAGTCTTTAGACTAAGAACAGGCAACAATAGGATGAGGCAACATGTTTCAGCAGATAAAAGCTAAGTCTCAGGGACATATCCAGGTAGTACGGCACCACAAAATACAGAACATGTTCCACAAGACAGCATTTTGTACCAACATACATGGCCTAGATTATGGCTCTAAGACACGACTCTCAGTAGTGAAAAATCGCATGGTTTGCTTGCGGAGTTGGAGACAACTGGCAGTTTATACTGATAGTTGGACTAGTTGTACAATCTTCCAAAGTATACATTTTAAAAACAAAGAATACAAAGCACCCATCAATACAAGGGTTAAAATCATAAATACATGAGCTTTAATATGAACATGTAAAATTTAGGTCAGCAATCACAAGCTGAAAAATAATTTCACTGAGAACAAGAACTAATACAAGATTGAAAGATTTCAGGTGTCGGCATGGTCCAGTCTGTAAAGCTCATGGTTGCTAAAACCAAAAAGTCTCGAGTTTGAACCCTCAGGCAAATGAAGCTCATTAGCTGGGGACAGCCACTCTTCTAGGAGAGACAACTTCAAAGCCAAACAACTGCTGCCTTGTAGTTTGCTCTTGGTTGGACAAAGGCTATTGAAGCAAATCCAAAAAGAAAAGCAGGCTGAAATTGGAGTCAATGGCCTCAATGGTGCATAACCAGTTGACACGTAATCCTCAATTGTGATGGAAAGGGGTCGACGTAGACGAGTCGGTAAAGCTCATGGTTGCTAAACCAAAAAGTCTCGAGTTCGATCCCTTCCAACACTAAAAATTAAGAATGAAGAAGAAGAAGAAAGGCTTCATCTATACCTTTGATCCAGCAGCCAGCTGAATCCTTGAGATTCCCAAGATCTGAATCTGATAGTTGGCTTTCACGTCCCAAGCTGTGACATCAGTACTCCGAGAAACACTAGCAGCAGCGTCAGTTTGGGAATTACTTATTAACCCAGAGTTCTGTCTTCTTGGTACTGGTGGATTGGACTCTAAACAATAAAGAAAGAACAGTGTTATAACATTTTTTACGTACGTTTTAAAAAAAAATATAATTCAGGCATAAAATGCTGTGTTGCTAAAGCATTAATTTGGTTTAATTTATTAGTAGAAAAGCATTTATTTGTAAATTTTAAACATATCAAATATTAATTTCCATCATCTTAAGCTTGAATTAAAGATTGTATTGGAAAGTGAAATTGTATAAAAGAAAGAATCTATTACTAATTTATTTGCACGTAGGATTATGCATAAAATATTTATCAGCAATTAGTATTTTAAGTCCAATTCACAGAAGGGAAATTTTATTTATCGGTTATGATGAATTTTTCTTTATAGAATTTCATAGTTTGTTATTTGTGTTTCATATGGAGATGAGTAAAAATAAATATTTTTTCTCAAGTGACATAGCTCAATAGTCTGTCTGCTTGTTAAATCTTATAGCACAATTTTGACCATTTCTAAGTGATGCCATTTCTTTTAACCTTTTGGATAAGTAATTTCTTATGACTATATAAGTATATCTCATTTTTAATCTAATTAGATATATTTTAGTACATTTAAAAAGGTATTATATTATTATTATAACAGTTATTATACTTACTTTATTAAAGGTATAATAATTAGTTTAAACATAACATAACACCTTTTTTGTCTCCTACCTAAGAGAGTAGACTTAAGCACCATCCAAAACTGTGGAGCAGCTTTCTTCACCAGACACTGGTAAACATACTGTGAAGTGCAGGAATATAATGAAATATATAATACATGGATCTAGATCTACATGGATTTAAAATTCTTGAAAGAAATTACAGAATAAAAAAGTATAACAAAATAAAAAATAAAAACTCTTATGTAAGTTTTTCAAAAGCATTCACTTTCACTTCGTTAATTTAAAAAGACATTTAGAAAATATTTATCACTTATACATAAAGGAAGTATTTACTTTAAACTGAATTAGTGGATGATCTCCATATAAATACTCCTCTTGTCCAATGACCTTAAGGATGAATAACTCTGAATCTGTTTTAGGTGGCAGAGTTCTTTTTCCATTTTCCAAAGTTGCTTTAATTGCTGCATCCGGTGTACACATATAGTCTACATGTGTTATATAGCGACCCTAAAAATAGTAACACAAAAACATAACAGTGAGCTTTTCTTATTCTGAGTATAAATGAGTTTAGTTAAAAAAAACTTCTTTTTAAAATAATTACAATGCAATAGATAGTAAAGAAAGATGTTTAGAAATTTAGATTTTTAATTATAAGCGCTAAATTTACCGCATTTTCATAGAAGACATCTAATATTATGCGACCATTAAAAATACTGGCTTGTAATTCATCAGGTAATGTTTTAACATTGCGAAGTCGAAGTGGGTAACGCCATCTGAATTTCTCTATAGGTGTCTGGAAGCAAGGATATTTTTCGTATGACGACGCAAAAAAAGATAAAATATGAATGTAAAATCATTTATTTTTTACCCCTAGCTCAAAAGATATTAGTTTCTAGTTGTGACACATTTAAATATTTATTTATGAATGAGGTTTAAGATTTGTCATTTTCAAACTGATATTTTGAAATTAGGAGGAACTACATGCAAACAATGGTTACTTACTTGTGATCTTCGATGTATTGCAATTTCCCTACACAACTCAGTCATTCTTTGTTTGAAATCAAACATTTCTGCAGCTTGAAAGGATTCTTGCTTTGATAAACCTTTTGAGAAGTTTTGCAATGTTATTTTGATTTTTTGGAAGAAAAATTGACCATTCAATATTGTATAAGTTTTATACAATCTTTTTTAAAACAAAGGAAAACAAAAAAGGTAAGGTGCTGTACTGTTTGAATTTAATTACCTTGACCAAGGAAAACATAAGATATGGTGCTATACTGTTTAAATTAAATTACCTTGACCAAGGAAAGCAAAAAAAAGTTGCTATACTGTTTGAATTAAATTACCTTGACCAATCAGACAGTTAATTTTTTTATCCAGTGTTTTTACTTTGTTGTCTCCCTTCCTTTTCACCAACTGGAGAAGTCCTATATATGGGCGGAGCTGTTGTAAATTTTGACTTTCATCTAGAACTTCTTCCTGATTAAAGTAATTTCGGTAAACAATTTAAAAAAATATATTATAATGACTGCAATTTTAAAGAAAAACAAAAATTATATATGACGTTTATCTTCCAAATAATTTTCTACATTTTTAAAATAAATATATATTTATTAAAGTAAAACTGAATTTTCTTTTTATAAAAACAAAAACTGTTATGTCAATATTGTAAAAAGTATACTATATTACACAATAAAACAATATTTAAGAAAGAAATACCTTCTCTCCCACTGTATTGATGAAGTAAAAACTGTATGCATCTTCAGGCAATAAGCTATTAGCCAGTGGATAGTTGTGTGCTTCTCTCCACACAATCTGTTAATAGTAAAAATTTTGTATCATTCATTCAGAACTAAAAAACACTTTATTTCTGTTGTTGTGGACAAGAGGGAAAGGGAAATGGGTTGGCATCCTGTTTTGATCAAAATAAAATAAGTAAATGTCAGTATGGGAAGTAAATCCTTTCTTCCTTATATGAAATGGTTTCAATAAGGATATGTAATTAGTGTGTAAACAATAAAACCAATGTCGTGTATAATATAATCATTCATGTTGTGATAATTTACAAATAAAAACTATTTAAAAAAGATGTTGTCTATACAAAATGTTATCATCAGTGTCCACACAATAGCTAAATTTATATGTCTGATCAACTAGACATTTATTCTCATGTTTTGTCTTGTATAATGGAAAGATATGGTCAAACAGTAGAGAGCATGACTACTGACATGAAAGTCTCAAGTTCAGATCCCTGGGTACGTGACTCAAGTTAGGGAAAGTAAAGGCGGCTGGGCATAATGTTGATCAAAATATTGCTTCATACAAACATGTCGCAGAAACAGGTGAACTCGACTTCATAGAGCACTCTGGCCATTAATATTAACCTGTTCGTTGATATTTAGGCCTCTCCATATTTACCTGTTTGATGATATCTACCCTTCTGTTGATATCTACCTGTTAATGTTTGTTGATATTTACCTGTTTGTTGATACTTACCTGTTTGTTGAAATTTACCTGTTTGTTGATATTTACCAGTTTGTCAATATTTACCTGTTTGTTGATATTTACCAGTTTGTCAATATTTACCTGTTTGTTGATATTTACCTGTTTGTTGATATTTACCTGTTTGTTGATATTTACCTGTTTGTTGATATATACCTGTTTGTTTATATATACCTGTTTGTTGATATTTACCTGTGTGTTGATATTTACCTGTTTGTTAATGTTCACCTGTTTCTTGATATTTACCTGTTTGATAAGATCAAGTGGGGACAGGTAGTTGACCACCAGAGGAATGAGGATTCCATTTGGGAGAAGAAAGTCAATCTCGAGCTGGTTGTTGCTGTCTGTTTTTATACAGGTCAGTGTGACTTCCTCGTTAGAGATGGGTGATACTACTGGGTAGGTCATTTTTGTCCTGTTGCTGTGTACTAGAAAGATTTGGTAATGATTAATAAATTATGAGTTAGTACTTCATTACTAGGTCTAATTGATGATAAATTAAATCAATGGATTGAAATATTTATTAAACTTAGGACAAGCCAATTATTAATACTTTTAAAAAGACTCATTAGAACTTGAATTAAAATATTAGGCCTATTTACTAACTATTTAGAATTTAGATATAGATCTAGATTTAGCTTAAAAAAGTAAATTCTAGGCCTACTACTTAAAAAACGACTTTTCTTTAAAGTTTAGTTAAAACTTAGGACCTTAAATTATAGGGCCTATTAAAAATTAAAATTATGTGTATTGGCATTGTGTCTGCTACATCTAGGTCTAGATTTAAATCTAGACTAGATCTAGTGTAGTTGTTAGTAATAGATCTAGATCTAGATCTAGATCTAGTAATAAACTAAATAAACGGTACAGCACAGACCACTGTCCACACAAGAATAAAAAAAATTATTTATTTACGTATGAGCCAAACGTCCGTTTGCCTAACAAAAGCAAGGCTCCTTTCTGTTCAGATATCGCTATATTATCAAGAATCTAGATCTAGTAGCAACAATGGCCGTCATTTTAAGCTTTGTAGCCTCTGAAAAAGGTGCTTGTTGAATGTTACATTAACATTTCGTTACAGTTGACTGTTGTTAATCTACAGTTTACACTTCCTCGATCCGACAGATGACCTTTGAACTTCCGTAAAGGTGAAGCGCAAGGTAGGCCAAGCCAAGAGTGAAATCAACGGTAGTGACACGGTCTGGTAGTTGGGTTTTAATTCGATTCTAGAAGTGTCAGGAGAATAATGGTATGTCTGATACACCCCCCCCCTTTTCGCTAACACGCATCCAGTTTCTTCAACGCATCTCTTCGGGGAGGGGGGGGGCAACGTCTACCACCTCCCTTCCTGAACGAAATAGAATTTATATTGAAAATATATACTTTTACCAGTTCCGCCCCCAAAATGTATACAAATTGTGTAGGCGCCGTTTCTTCACATTCCTTATCCCCCTTCCCCTTTCCATGTAGATCTAGAAAATCGTCAAAAAGGCATCCCCTATTTGTTTAGACAACATATGGTAGGCCTATGCAAAACTCACAAGCTTTGCAGAGTGAATAAAAGAGTGGCTTCCCCTATTAAATAGTCACAGTAATCTCCCCTGTTTACATTTTCACAGTTGCCTTACATGCCCTACTTTCCATTCAACCATGAAACCGAGACTAAGTCGCAGAATGCTGTGATTGACAAGTTAAACAATCGGAGCAAGGAGATCTACAAACCAGAACTACCCTCGTTACTCGTTATTGTCCCAAGAGAATTAACGAGAGTCCATATAAGACGTCACTTCAGACTCGTAAGTGGGGGAGGGGGGGGGGGGAGCGTTGGATTTTTAGTGACGGTGTGTGACGAGGGAGAGAAGAGGGGGGGGGGGCAGAAAAATGACGACCATCTTTTTATATTTTGAAAATATGTTAATGTATTAAGTATATCATCATAATTGTTTGAACTCAGTTGATATTTTGGACAGAAACAGCAAAAACAAAACAAAAAAAAATTCAGCTTTGATATGATGGGAAAGGAATGGTGTGTGTGTGTGTGGCTGTCCTTTTATTGGGGGGGGGGGGGGGGGGGAGACTGACCCCGTGGTTATTTCAGGCATTTTTCATCGGGGGACACTTGAAACTTTGGAGTAGGGGGGGGGGGATGAAGTGGCAGACACTAAAAATATATACTTTTCTATTTTATTCGAGGGGGTTGACTGTGGGCGTACTTCGGGATATGACAACCACTCCCAAGAGAGGCCTGAAAGAACTAAGCATATTTAAAAAAAATGCGATTTCGCTGAATATCAATCTTTGCAGGCCTACAATATGCAAACCTAGCACCTAGAACGTATTCTGTCTGCTTTTTCACAGTTGAAAAACCAATTGGGGTAAAACGAAAAAAAAAACAACCCAGAATCACCTGTGTCTCCAGTTCTGTGTGCCAGCTGGCGATGTATCAAACAGAATTCTCGAGAAAGCCTAGTTTCGTTTTGATTCCCTCAGACCTAGAGTGAGCTAAAAATATAAAGTGTATAGGGGGTTTATTCATTTAGTTTATTTTTTTGTTAGAGTTATGGTACTTTGTTCTGGGGGTAGGGTGGGGAGGGGGGGTCTTGGCAGCGAAGACTTAAGATTTCGCTCAAACAGGAGATTTAACTGTAAGGCTCACGGTGTGTGATGTGTGGGTAAGTGGGGTCACACTGGCTAAATCTTGAAGTTGCGACATATATACCAAAGGCGGGGTTGTAGCGCAGATGAAGCAGAGTAGCTGATTTTCCTTAGCGTTTAGTATTTCCAGTAGCCGATTAGCTCATTTTTTTCCCGAGGGCAACCGTATAATGCTCTCTATTTATTCTTTTCCTCTCTCCCGGCTCACTCTCTCGAAAATTAAGGTCAGGCACACAATAGAAACTCGATTGTCTCAGAAATAAAAGCCATACGGGCGTCAATTTGATATACATATTTTTATATATATAGGCCTATGTAATATTATATATATATATATATATATATATATATATATATATATATATATATGGGCCTATATATATATATATATATATATATATATATATATATATATATATATATATATATATATATATATATATATATATATATGGGCCTATATATATATATATATATATATATATATATATAGCCTATGATGATTAATAGGGAGAGGGTGTGACATGTAAATATCCCCCCCCCCCCTTTCATTATACAACTTTAAAACATAATCACATTTTTAACCATGGTGTTGAGCCCGTCTTTAAAACATAAATACATTCTTGTACAGTTCGAGCCTAGTAAGAAATGGCAGCAAAAAAAAAAAAAAAACCAGCTAGAGGTGCACTACACACCTCCACATGTGTGTATAAACACAGCCAGAATACATTACACAGCCTGAGCTACCTGTTTCTTTAGTTCGCCAGCGGAGGGACTCGGCATCGAAGAAACGTAAGGTAGAAGCGAAGGTGGGTTGCAAGCTAATTATTGAGGTGTTCTTGGTGGGAGTGGAGTGCACATTCACACACTGTAGACCTACATTTTTTCTATTCAGCTGTTTTTTCTTCTTCTTCTTTTCGGTGTGCTATCCGCTGGTGTTGATTGTACGGTTTATTTATTTTTTTAATTAATTAATTTTTTAAATTTAATTTTTTCATGCGTGTTGGTGAGCAGTGGTTTTTAGACACTAGGTCAAGCAGTGCTATAGAGTAGGTTGTGTCGGATGCAGTTTTAAAAATAACCGCAGGTTTCATGTGTATATATTGTTACCATCAGATACGCGCATTGGTTTTGTAGATCTATATGCTATTCTAAATTATCCCGAGAATGAGTTATGTTAAAATGCAGCACGTTGTTGATCTAGTTGAATTAAAGAACGCTAATTACATACTTATATATATATATATATATACACACATATATATATGTATATATATATATATATATATATATATATATATATATATATATATATATATATATATATATATATATATATATATATATATATATATATATATATATATATATACATACACATATATATATATATATATATATATATATATATATATATATATATATATATATATATATATATATATACATATATATATATATATAAATATATATATACACACATATATATATGTACATATATATACATACATACATATATATATATATATATATATATCACAACCCAGGTGTGTAGTAAGTATCAGTGAAAACACAAGTTCGCTCAAGATTATGATAATGTGCAGCATTTAATATTTAGCCATCCATCGACACGAGCGCTTTATTATTTGTTATGGATATGGATGGCACAACGCATCCTGCATATGCCACTATAGATTCAGTTATAAACAGGGTCACACATATCCTACCTGTGTAACTGGTGCGTTAGGAATCTGCAGTGTGAGCGTTAATTACGGCACGTGTCGTGCGATATTGTATAACAACCAATGTTTTTATTTCTTTTAGATTTTAAATTCTTAACTAGGAGTTGTTGTTCTTTAATAAGTTTGTGAATTTTAACAGTTTTTGAACAATAAAGTTAGTTTTACTTTATACTGCATTAGAGTGCAAGTGATTTTGTACCATAATTTTTTGGAGTGAAAAATAAAAATAAAGTAAAAATTTCTCAACAATGGCATCGGGGGCATCGGATCTGGTACAGCTGAGGAGATACGACACAAGCCAGCCCTGGGGGTTCCGGATGCAGGGAGGGAGGGAGTTTGGACTGCCTTTGTTTATTGTCAATGTGAGTATACGGGTTATGTGAGGGTTGTGGGTTGAATAATGTGTGAGTAGTTTTTGTGTGGTGAGCGCGCGCGTGTTTGTGTGTGTTGTGGGCTATTGTGATGTGTGTTTAAGTGTTTTTTTGCATGTGTGTGTGTATGTGTTTCTTTTTATCTACATCTCTCTTTTGTGTGTTTTTGAGGGGGTGGGGTGGAGTGGGAGAGGAGGGAGGGAGAGGTGGAGATAAGTATGTGCATGTGAGTGAGTTTTTTTTTGGGTGGGGTAGAGGCAGTTGGATTCCAAAGGATTAAATAGTGCGAGGAAAGAGAAGAGAAAGATTTTGTTAATAGAGAAATAGAGAGAGAAAAAAAAGATTGTGTCGTTTTCATCGAGATATTTGCAGATGTTACTACATAGAGGTGTGACTATATATATATATATATATATATATATATATATATATATATATATATATATATATATATATATATATATATATATATATATATATATATATATATATATATATATATATATATTGTTTGAATGTATTGTGTGTGTGTGGGTCTGCCTTTGTATGATGAAAAATACAATCACAGACATATTCATCCTAGATATTTAAGCCAGATATACCATACCCGGATGTTTGCATGCGGATGAGCTTTATCCGCAGAGAGATGAGCTAAAGGCTAGATAACAATCGGGGTTTCCCCATTTTTCACGCCTACTCGAATTCTGAGAATTTTCAGACTGCCCTGCTCGAGAGTCTGGGTAGTTGTAATAGACCAGTGTCTACTTGATAGTGGGGACTTGATATTTTCGGGGGGGGGGGGGCGGTCAACATTTTCCGGGGTGGCGGACACTAGTAAAAGTATGTTTACCTTATAAATTCCATCTCGTTCGGGGGGGGGGGGGGGGGGGGGGGTAGACTTTCTTGGGGGGGGGGGGGGGGGCGGAGATGCATGGAAGAAACTCTGGTAATATACATGTCGTTATGGGTCACTGGCAATCCATCCGTCCGCTCCGACGCTTTAAGGTATTGGAGGGACTCATTTTGTTTCAAGGAGTTCTAAAAGGCACTTCACAGTAGCTACTAAAATACTGACATCATTATTTTTTTTACACATGGTTTAATGAATTTTAATTTTTTTTTCTATAACAGTATCATATTATCTCGTGTTGACATAAAACTTGGTATCTTTATCGAAACTACGGATACTATCACCCACTCTAAACTTAGTCCTGACGCTTGATTCTGTACCTACTCATTACTCGTAGCCAGTGTTTCTTCCAGACTTTTTTCTCCGGGGGGGGGGGGGGGGCACTTGAAATCTTCGGGGGGGGGGGGGGCAGTAAACTTTCTTCGGGGGGGGGGGGGGGCGGACACTGTTAAAAGTATATATTTTCTATATAAATTTTATAAATTTCATTTCGTTCGGGGGGGGGGGGGGGGGTGGTAAAAATTTTTCGGGGGGCCTTAGACCCCCCGCAGAGATGCCTGGAAGAAACTCTGCTCGTAGCAAACTCTATGCTACCGCCAACCACACGCTCAAGGCTTTATCTCGGAAACATGAAGCAGTTTTCTTTACTTTGGTAAACTTATTCCAGGTACTCATATAAGCTAAGTGGGCTCTTTATACAAATCAAGGCATGCTATGCTAAAACCCAACCAGAAATCACCACGTCCCTAATGGACTTTCGTGTTAATATATAATTTCCACTTGGTAGATAATTTCTACTTAGTAGATTCTATTTTAAAACCGACACACGTAAACTAACACCTGCGAATAACGATTTCTTGTCTTAGCCAAAACGTCACCTGTACCCCTTGTATAAACTAGAAGTTGACATGCACTTTGTGTCGTAGTGAAAGGGAAAATGACGTACGACTTTGGTGTTTACGTTTCTAAAAATAGAAACTAGTCTAGGTCGGTGTCGCGCTGTCTGTCGTAGATTTTTTTTTTATTTCATAGGCGGAGCTAAAAACAACATAGAATGGGTTAGTTTGTGCTGTTGAATAGAGAAAAGCTGCACTATACATAAAAATAGATGAAAGCTAAAAAAAAAAACATCAAGAAAGGGCCTAGCCATAAAAAATGTGTTAACGGGTTCTTTTGGTGATAAAAAATTTCTTAGAGGAATACAGTATCACGTGTCCTAGATCAGTGCAGAGTTTCTTTCAGATATTTTTCTCTTGGGGGAGGGGAGTGGGGGGGGGGGGCTTGAGCTTTCGGGGGTGGGAGGTGGGCTTGGAACTATCTGAGGGAACCTTCGATAGCTTTTGTCCAATCAAGAACAAACTACAAGGCATCACTTGTTTGATTTTGGTGTTGTCTCTCCTAGAAGAGTGGCTGTCCCCAGCTATCGAGCCTCGTCTGTCCGGGGATTTCGAACTCGAGACTTCTCGGTTTAGAAATCATGAGCTTTACCGACTCGACCACGCCATTTTGTTGCCCCTTCGATGTCTGACAGAAACTCTGTGCTAGTGTCGCTGTAAGGACAAGGTTTGGGGCCTAGAATTGAGATCAGCGTTGGGGTAACGATGCAAGCATATAATAGAACCTATGGATTGTTTTTCTATTTTTGTAGTTCAAGTATTTTAATAGGTTTTTTTTTCCACTAATTGCCTAATGTATTTAAACTCGGATGAAAACAAATATTTTAATTTTGATTTGCTGAAATATTTGAATGAATATACGATGGTTTATGCAGAGGCGTAGCGAGGGGGGAGGGGCGGGGGTGCGGACCGCACCGGGTGACACCATTTGGGGGGGGGGGGTGACACCAAGGCAAAAAAATAGCAAAATATATAGAGAAAACTTTGAGGGGGGGGGATGCAAATCGGAAATTCGTCCATGGGAAGGGTCGCTGCGCCTCTGGGGGGGGTGACACCATTAAATACCGCACCCGACCTCGCTACGCCACTGGGTTTATGTACATATATTGTTTTTTAAAATTTAATTGTTTAAAAAAAATTAAAGTTGGCATATAGATCTAGTCTATATCTATTTAACGTGAATTGTTATTCAAAATTAAGCTAAAAGACGAAACAACGCAGGTGGTGGATTTGGGGACGGGGGATACGCCTTTTAACTGAACGTGCCAGATTTTTTTCCTCTTCCCGACCTAATCACTTGAAAGCAAATAGTCTTTTCATAGCTGCATCTGTCGCCCAAGTTGAAAGTTTCAAGTCTAAGGAACCCGTTTATGCTACGCTGTTGGTTTAGTTAGTCATATCGCGGTAGATAGTTACGTGACGTCATTGTCATGCCCACGCGATAAGGCCAAGTAGGAAATAAAAACTTTTTGTACTGCCCAGTTCATCACACGATTAAAGGCTAATCTTTCAAATGTGGTTAGGAGTAGAGAGTAATTTTTAAAATAGTCGTAATAAGAGTTTTAATTCCAGGCAGAACTTCTTCCTTCGCCCCTCCCACCTGAAGCCCCTGAACGAATTAAATTTAATAAAGAAAATATATACTTTTACCAGTGTCCGCACCCCCCCCCCCCCTCCCCGAAAATTGTGTGCCCCCCCCCCCCACCCCCGGGAGAAAAAAGTCTAAAAGAAACACTGGTCGTAATTTAGTTACGTCTTTGAGATAGACTCACTAGATAAGTAATTAATAGTAAGGGATGCAATTAGGGTGTAAATGCAGAGGCGTAACGAGGGGGAGGTGGCGGGGGGTACATATGTGCCTACCCTAAAGGGCGCCAAAATGGGTTGGAAAGAAAATTTAAAGCTCATTTTAACTGCAGTTTTGCATTACAAAATCTAAAAAAATATATATGGGGGTGGGGGGTGGGTGGGGGAGCGCGCCAAATTGAAAGTTTGCCCCCGGGCGCCGGGAATGGTCGCTACGCCTCTGTGCAAATGGAAGTTTTAATGCTAGTACATAGTGAGGAACTTCAATGTATTAATCACCTAGTCGGGTATCTATAAATGACGCCATATTTTAGGCCAAAATTTAGCCATCCCCTCGCACCAATTGTCACAAAATGCCAGACCACTCCCCACTCCCCCACATTGTAGTTTCCACCATCCGTTTCCCCCAAATTTCTAAAATAATAATTGAGCCGTTAGGTGATATAAGTTTGATAAAAGGGGTCATCCATAATTGATATCGCTTGAACCCAGTATTTCTTCCAGACTTTTTTCTCCGGGGGGCACTTTATATTTTCGGGAGGGGGGGGGCGGACAAGGTAAAAGTATATATTTTCTATATAAATTTCATTTCGTTCGGGGGGGGGGGGGGGTAGACGCCCCCCACCCCCCGAAGAGATACATGGAAGAAACTCTGTTTGAACCTGTGACTGTAGGAAGGTCCATGAGTCCACCCAGCGCTGATGGGTACCTGACTCACGTTGGGGAAAGTAAAGGTGGCTGGGCATAGTGCTGAACACCGAACCCCTAAAACAGGTAAACTCTACTTCACCAGCCGCATGGGCCGTCAGGTTCGAAATGGTACTTTAGTGTGGGGGGGGGGAGATATTAGGCACACATATCAATACAACTCCAGGTACCATCTAACGGAAAAGAACCTCAGCAAAATCTTAACCAAAACAGTTTGTTTTTATTGTAGTGGAGCACATGCTACACACCAGGATGAACCTGTGACTCGCACCGAACGCGTAGTGTGAATTTACAAGCTGTTAGGCCTATACAGCGGCAGATAATTTCATACTGCTCGTTGCGCCACCAACAGTGTTCTCCCCCTTTGCTCACTTTTCAAAGCGCCGTAACCCTGGTTGCTTACCTAGTTCGTACTTTTTACAAGTGGCTTGTATGTAATTAGGTCACCAACTTCTCGTTTTGGTACTCGCCAGCTGGTATTTTTCAAGCCAAATGTGAAAGGTTTTTATTTAATTCCTAAACAAATAATTAGAAAAAGTTACTTACCCTATTGTTCAGAGATGGCCTTCTAACCCGTATGTATATATATATATATATATATATATATATATATATATATATATATATATATATATATATATATATATATATATATATATATATATATACATACATGTATTGATTCATGTGCAAAAAACATCATTTTAATCGTAAATTATTAGATTTTTGTATCACCCCTCCTCGGTGATTCAAAATACTCAATAAACCTTTATCCTATTTATCATCTGTAAATTTTGCAGTTGGTGTCACCTGCTTCCCCCCCCCCCCCCTTGATAGTTTTTAAAATGTACACAGTTAATAGTATTTTTAAAAAAAATCTACAGTCAGTTATTTATAGTGGATTAACTCTAATTAATCATTAATGGAACTGGTAAAATGCATTTTTCTTGTATATATTTTGCCATTTTTCGCCATAGTGTCACCCACACACCCGCCCTTGCCGCGCCTCTGGACACCACACAAAATTTGTAGAGGTCGCAGTCTTTAAAACTAGGCATTACATTTACAATTACATCGGGTTAAAATTTTGTTTGTCATGAAGTGTTTCAGTACTGCATACATTGAAACTCTATTGCAATTTGTTGAAAGATATTTTGGTTATTCCATAACTAAAAAAGATTATAACCATGAAACCCGTAACCTGGTAAAGATAGTTTGGAGCTGGGTTGACTTTTTCCACAGCGTTGTCCCTTTAAGTGTTCAGAAAGTAATTATGAAAATTATATCTAGAATCTATATTCTAGCTCAGGGGTCGGCAACCTTTTGAAGCGAAAGAGCCAAAAATTACAATTTTCAAAATTTCCTTGGTTTTAAAGAGCCACTAACATTTTTTTTATTACAAATATTTTTTTTTTCGTAAGATTATTAGTATTTGTGCAAGGAGCTGAGAGCCGCACCTTGATATCAAAAGAGCCGCATGCGGCTCTTTTGGTGTCACGATGCGGCTCTCCAGCTCCTTGCACAAATATTAATAGTTATATCATTTAATTTTCAAAACGCATAACAAAAATTCTACTGTAGGAATACACAAGTTTAAACAGGATAAAAACACTCAGCCCTGTGACAACAATTCCATGCTTGCCACTGCGCAAGTGCTGACTTTTTCGAATGCCGTTAATTGGAGAATGTTAATTTAGAATGCATTTTCCTATCCGTCAGTAATCATTAATTTGACGTGAGTGACTTAGTTATTATTAGCTTCCTACTGTTGAGCCGGGTACTGGAGGGTGGGGTACGATTTTACCATGTGTTCAGTGGGGTGGAAGATAGGCCTGGTGAGAACTGAATGACAAAAGTGACCGATACACGATAATCAAACCGATACCCAAGCCAGTTAGTCGGAGTTTGTCGTGTTGGGCCTGCCTGGCTATGGGAGACACCGTAAAAAAGTTATTTTTTAAATTAACAGCTTCTAAAGTGGATTGGGATAGTCCTATATTTTAATTTTTTTATTACTAATTTCATTATTCTGGCAAAACAAGTGTATGTTTTTATATGAATAAATATTATTTCATATTTAAAGCTATTTATTTTAAACAACAAATCAAATTTATTTACCCAATCCTAACCAAATAATAAAATATTGAAATTAAAATGTCAGTCGCTCTTTAAAACTGGGAAATTGTGTAAATTGTAAATTTTGGCTCTTCCGGCTCAAAAGGTTGCCGACCCCTGAGCTAGATGTTCGTTCGATAAGGGACAAATATATTTATTAAAAATTACCGAAAGAGACGTTTTGAAATTGTATATTTGTGAAAATGAACATCCGTATATCTACGAATGAAATCTTCAAAATAGCCATTGGTTCTAAATTTAGAATAGAAGTGAACGATAAATAAGATTATCAACAAAATATAAAAATATGAAATAAACTCATTTATCATACCTACCTTTACTAAAACATTAAAAAATGAATCTCATTACATATTTTATTACTGTTGAATATCTATGTATAGCTAAAGTCTATTTGGAACATATGTTTAGGTTTTTTCCCATGAATATTTTGTAATATGAAATGGGAGGTAATTAGAACATTCACTTTTTCAACATTGAATACATTTATTATTGAATTTATAAATATACTAAAAAACCCGTTATCATTGGGATTCGGGAATCACCCATAAAGGACGTTACGTTTATTTGAAGATTTTTATCTCTTCCCCCCCCCCTCCCTACTCGTCACACATCTTCACAAAAAGCCAGACCCCCCTACTCAAAAAGACATCACACCTCAGACAACATTTTCTTGTCTTTTAAAAACACCGATTTCAGCTGAGCTTGGATCTGACCACATTGTGACTTCATATGCCGAGGTCATAAAAACAGCTAAATTCTACTTCACCTGCCCAGTGTCCCGCCATGCCTCAGACAACATACTGAGCCACTTTTAGATTCTGCTTATAATATACAATAGGAATCGCAGGGATAATTTTTTTAGGGTAGAGTATAATCCAGGGCCAGAATTGTGGCCAGGGTAAGGACTAATGCTAGGGTTATGACAATAGGGCTGGTAAGTAGGTCACCAACCAGTTCTACGGCTCAATAAAACCTGCATAAGCCATATAACTGGTTGGTGACATACTTACCAGCCCTATTGTTAAGATGATGACCATAGTAAAAACAGCAACTTGGATACAGTCCTGCTGGGGATCATGTACGTTTGAGTATTATTAAAGACAAACGCTAGGGCTATGATCATCGTTAAAACAGCGATAACGCCAACAGCAAAGACTTTTATACAATCCGAGTATAGTTACCACAGCAATAAACTACACGGACGGCAAATTTGTGATGCTTTATCTTTTTGTATTCGTCGGTGAAGATTGGGTTATCTTTTCCTTTCACTTTCGTCGCCGAGTTTACAAGTCTGTAGCACACAGACAGGTGGGCTAAACCAGGGTACACTGCTCGTTCGTTCTCTCTTGCGGATGTTGATGTGTGTAGAGGGGTGAGGGAGGAGATACGTGGGGGTGGGTGCGAAGGATATCTATAACTATACCGTTATAAGGCACCCGTTTGGTCGTTATAGAAGTAATTTTATATAAACTGTATCAAGGTGGAATGTATTTTTATTTCTGTTGGCGTTGTAGGGGTGAACGTGGAGTTGAATGTGTAGGTGGGGGTGGGGGGGTGTCTAGAAGTTGGTCAGTACAGAATTATGAGGTACCATCCGGCCCTTGATGAAGTACTTATATATGTCAGCTGTAACATGGTGGAATGTCGTTTTATTTGTGTTGATGGGGTGAGGTTGAGTTTGTATATGTGTGGGGGTGAGGTTTAGTTCGTATATGTGTGGGGGTGAGGTTGAGTTTGTATATGTGTGGGGGTGAGGTTGAGTTTGTATATGTGTGGGGGTGAGGTTGAGTTTGTATATGTGTGGGGGTGAGGTTGAGTTTGTATATGTGTGGGGGTGAGGTTGAGTTTGTATATGTGTGGAGGTGAGAGTGAGGTTGAGTGTGTATGTGAGTGGGGGTGAGGTTGAGTGTTTTTATATGTGGGGTGAGGTTGAGCGTGTATATGTGGTGGGGGTGAGGTTGAGCGTGTATATGTTTGGGGGTGAGGTTGAGTGTTTATATGTGTGGGGGTGAGGTTGAGTGTGTATGTGAGTGGGGGTGAGGTTGAGTGTGTATGTGTGTGAGGTTGAGTGTTTATATGTGTGGGGGTGAGGTTGAGCGTGTATGTGTGTGGAATCGGGGTGAATGCAAAGATGTGTAGAACTGGGTTACCTAAGAACTACTACGGTATAAGTACCCAATCGGGCATTGCTGCAGTAGGTATATGTTTTCTTTGTGCATTCTGGTTTCTGGTGGTGTTATCGGGGTAAGGAAGTTGTTCAGAGGGTCTGTGCCTATGTGTAAGGGGAGTAGTGGGGGGGGGGGGGGGGCGTTGGGTACTTGAAACAAAATTAGGTTATTCTAAAACTCTAGGAACAAAATCAGCCTTCGCTGCTGCAGTCGTGTGTAAAACATCGCTTGCTTAATTTTTTGTTCTGGTGGATGGTGAATACCCCCTATCCCCACACACCCCAACCCCCCCCCCCCCACCCCCAAAGAAAAAACAACACAGACCAAGCACACCATTTTAATCGTTAATACTTCATAAGAAACGAGGGGGGGGGGGAGAAAGGGGTGTCCTACATAAACAAACCAACGTCACTTCCGTTTTGTGTGTTCCACCGGGTCCATTTTACCTAGTTGTCTTTTTTTTTTATTGAGTCAAACGTTTCGTACCTTCGGCAACCTTTGACCTTTCTTGTGGGCGTTGGCACGTGGCACAAGCCCGTAGGCCTAAACACCGTGGTTTATTCTATCTGTGATACATCGTTCAGAAATCTGCTGTGGATCGTCCAAAGACGACGTCACACTCTAGCCTGGCTGAAGATGCTGGGTTACGCAATTTTTGTGGCAGGGTGAGCCGAGATCCGAACTCCAGGCCTTCGGGCTAGCACCAACTGCTCTACCATTCGACCACGCTGTTTCCAGCTCAGTTTGCAAACTCAGATTAATGACCAAAAATAACATTTTTACAGTATTGTGTTTCGAGACAAGGTCTTCTTCACAAAATCTTACTGTGATTTATTTGAAGTAGTTAACCATTAAAAGGAAAGCAATGGAAATCTTTTGAAATTAGTGTATTAGTAGGGTATATTTATTTAATATTTAAGCAGTGGCGTAGCGAGGTCGGGTGTCACCCGGTGCGGCACTTAATGGTGTCACCCCCCAGAGGCGTAGCGACCCTTCCCGTGGGCAAACTTTCAATTTTCGATTTGCACCCCCCCTAAAACTTTAGATTTCCACCTCTTAAAACACTATTTAACACTCGAATTGATCACTTAATTAAGTGGAATTATCATTTTTCTCTATATATTTTGCTATTTTTTGCCTTGGTGTCAACCCTCCCCCCCCTCGCTACGCCTCTGTATTTAAGTATCTTTATCGAAGATACTTGATCAAAATGAACATGGTTAAGGCTAAATGAAAAAAAAAAACGAAACGAAAAAAAAAACACAACTATTGTTACACATTTATTCCCCTGCGCAATTTTTCAATACAATTTGAAATTTTAAACTTTGTACACCCAGGTCTCACCAAAAAGTATCGCCGGGAAAGCCGGACTTCAAAATGGCGACGCTATCCTCGAGATCTGTGGCACCAACGTGACGGGGTGGGGGCACCAGGAGGCGAAGAATGAGATGATGAGAGCAGGGAATGAGGTGGATCTACGTGTTGCCAGGTGAGTTATAGGTGGACATATAGACAGGTGGATAGGTGGATATGTAGACAGATGGACAGGTGGATATGTGGATATGTAGACAGGTAGATAGGTGGACAGGTGGATAGGTGGATATTTGGATAGGTGGATAGATGGACAGGTGGATAGGTGGACAGGTGGATAGGTGGATAGGTGGATAGGTAGACAGGTAGATAGGTAGACAGGTGGATAGGTGGATAGGTAGACAGGTAGATAGGTGGACAGGTGGATAGGTGGACAGGTGGATAGGTAGACATGTAGATAGGTGGACAGGTGGATAGGTAGATAGGTGGATATGCAGACAGGTGGGTAGGTGGAAAGGTGGGTAGGTGGAAAGGTCGACAGGTGATAGGTGGATAGGTGGATAGGTGGACATGTGGGCGATACATGGACATACAAGTGGACAGGTAAACGGGTGGGTAGGTGGACATGTAGACAGGTAGATTGGTAAACATTGGACATGTGGATATGTGGATAGGCGGGTGGACAGGTAGATAGGTAGACAGGTGGGCAGGTAGACGGGTGGGTAGATGAACATGTAGACAGGGAGACAGGTGGATAGATGGACATGTGAATAAGTGGATAGGTGGACAGGTAGACGGGTGGATAGGTGACTATGTAGACAGGTAGGTAGGTGGACAGGCTGATAGGTGGATATATGGTTAGGTGCATACGTGGAAAGGTGGAGAGGCGAACAGGTGGATATGTAGGCAAATGCAGAGGCGTAGCGACCCTTCCCGGCGCCCGGGGACAAACGTTCAATTTGGCGCCCCCACAGGAGCAAATTTTTAATTTGCACCCCCCCCCCCCCCGTCAAACTTTCGATTTGCACCACCACCCCCCTCAAACTATAATTTATAATGCAAAAATGCAGCCAATATGACATTTTAATTTGTTTTTACAACCCATTTTGGCGCCCCCTAAGGTCGGCGCCCGAGAACATATGTACCCCCGTGCCCCCCCCATTGCTACGCCTCTGGGCAAATGTACAGACATATGGACGTTATACAGATGGTAAGACGGGTGGGCGATAGATAGCCATACAGGTAAACTAACTTTGGACAGACAGGAAGACAGACGAATGGCAAATCGATCTATGAACGGATGGACTAGAAACTAGACGGTTGTATAGGCTCGGATAGAGACACAGTGGTAAAATGTCAGACTGAAGGCAGAGGCGTAGCGAGGGGGGGGGGGCGGGGGGGGGGGGTGCGGACCGCACCGGGTGACATCAGTTAGGGGGGTGACACCAAGGCAAAAAATAGCAAAATATATAGAGAAAAACTTTAGGGTGGGGTGCAAATCGAAAACTTAAGGGGGGGAGGTGCAAACTGAAAACTTGAGGGGGGGGGGGTGCAAATCGAAAGTTTGAGGGGGGGGGGGTGCAAATGAAAAATTTGAAAGTTTGTCCCCATTAAGTGCCGCACCGGGTGACACCCGACCTCGCTACGCCACTGACTGAAGGATAAAACGATAAACGATCGTGATTTCTCAATGAGAAAATTTTCCATCTACCAAAATAAAAAACACAACAAATATCTTTTTGCGGATTTACTTCCGTTCCTGGAACTTTTTTTCTCCAAAACCTTCCTTGTTTTTATCTAACCTCTCTGCTCGCGAGTGTTGGGGGAAACGGGTCATAAAATTATTGACGTTTTTCAACCCGAGATTTGTTTGGTACAAAGCTGTATGTCAGCGGCGTAAACCCAGTGGCGTAGCTATCTCTTCATGCCGAGGTCACAGAAACAGGCGATCTCTACTTCACTTTCCCAATGGACCGTTAGGTTCCAAATGGGAACTTAATTTTTTACTTTTTTCTTCCAATAGTCTCACATCGCCCCCCCCCCCCCCCCCGAAAAAAATGAGAACAATCGAGTCTTGTAAACCGTAAAATAATTTTTACCACTTATCACCACTTATGCCAGATAATTTACCAGAATTTGGGTTAAATGAAGCTATGCTGGCAATAAAAAAAAAGTTACATTACTGCCAGGAGGGGGTAATAAAATCGGTGTTAAATCAGCGTGTGTCTTACTTCTCGACCACCGTGTTCCATTGTGTATCAAACGGCAGTTTAAAAGAATTGGATGACACACATCTAGTATGCTAATGTACACAGCCACTGTGAGTTCAGCTGCTCACCAACTAGACACGTGACTCACTGCTCGTGTTTACATGCTACACGTTGTTTATCGACCTTGACCTACCTTTGCTCTTTTAACATTTTGAAATTCCTCACCTGCATTTTTTTTTCGTTTAAAAAAGTTTATATTTTAATTTTTTGTTCACTCTTTGCTATTGGTAAGCGATCACAACACGATTTTTAAAAACTCAAATCAGTTGAAACAATTAACAAGCTACATCTTAGAACTTTAGCTACATTTACCAGTTTTAGAAATAACTATTAAATAATTATATATTATACTTTCTATATTAAGCCACTTCTGTGTTCTTGCCAAGAAGAAAGAAAAAAATGACTGTACTAAGATCAATGATTTTTTAAATTGACATGCTAGATTTATATGAGCTATCAGCAGTGATGGCATATCGATAGGTTACCTACTTAATCCTAGCCCACACCTAACCCTTACACCCCCACCCCCCATTTACATTAACGGGCTTACACACGTAACAGGCCTTGTAATGAGAATGTGACTTCCACAAGTGTTATACAAGCCCACTAATTTATTCAACTTCCTCACACCGTCACCATGGCGACGTTTGTTAGGTCAACATCCCATGTTTTCGTTGCTTCTTCCAACCCAACCGCTCCCGTCTGTTTGTATATAGTTAAGTTCTCTCGGCGACTCGTTCATTGTTTACATTGACGGGAATGTGTAGTTACTATTTCATCCATCCCATCATAAGCCATCTCATCTAAACCCAAACCATCCCATCCATACTCCCATCCGTCCATCCGTCCATCCGTCCGTCCATCCGTCCATCCATCCATCCATCCATCCATCCATCCATCCATCCATCCATCCATCCATCCATCCATCCATCCATCCATCCATCCATCCATCCATCCATCCATCCATCCATCCATCCATCCATCCATCCATCCATCCATCCATCCATCCATCCATCCATCCATCCATCCATCAATCAATATATATATATATATATATATATATATATATATATATATATATATATATATATATATAATTTGTAAGTGAAATACGATCTATCATTCTGCTCAAAGATTGAATCATCACGTCCTTCTTGAGGCTCATGTAATTTACATGCCCCGGATTACTACTACGTGTACCCTCTATACATACATCTATACATACTAATTAACAACATAATTTTCATACCCCCTTTTTCTCCCTCTCGCACAGGGGCGTGGTCAACACGTCCGACCCCAAGGTCAAGGCCGCGTGCGGCGTCGGCCAGGGCAACAAGCGGGTCGAGCTGGACGAGGGCAGCATCAACCCCCACATGAACGAGGGCTCCATGTTCAGGAACGTCACGCCCAAGACCTACAAGATCCTGGAGGCGCAGCTGGGATCCGCCGAGCCGGCGCCCTCCGCCCTGTCACAGCAGCCGGCCCAGCAGATGGCGCCCGTGCATGCCCAACCAGGTGGGTTTACGTCTGCTTCTCGTCTGCTTTTAGGATCACTGACAAAGACTATTATCCTTGATATACTAATCAACCGCTATAACTTTATATATATATATATATATATATATATATATATATATATATATATATATATATATATATATATATATATATGTCCAAATTAATAATAGTTGCGGCAAAATTAGGAGTTTATTGATATGCCCTTTGACAACTTCGCGGAAGATTATTTCATTTTAACTAAAGAGGAAATAATGTTCAAAATACCAATTGAACAGTGATATTATTTAATCGAATTGTATATCTTTTACCTTTAAAATAAAAACAAAAAGATAGTGGAAAATATGTTTATGGGAGCCAATCATTATGGATACATAATTCTAGATCTATAAATAGAAATACTAAAATTATTTGAAAACATTTAAGCCGGCTATATATGTTTGACACATTTTTTGTTTGTTTCTACAGCCCAACCAAAGCCATCTTCCATCTTTGACAGAAAGAAGCAAGACAGGTCAGACTATTTAGTGGCCCAAGGGCAGACCATTCAAAAAACTTACGGAGAGCAGTAGTTTGGAAGAGTTGTCTTTTCATGGTCATGCATTTGCTTTCACGATTAAACTTTCAATCCATGTGCCCTGCTATTTTGAAAAGCAGTTGAATACAATAAAAACTGGTGCTTATTTATTTAGTTTTGTCTCATTGCCTTGTGTTTAATAATGATGCTAAGCAAACAATTTTTGTAAAAGTGATTCACGTGAAGAAGTTATTGCATTTTAACATTATTTTCCTTTGTTAATAATTTTTAAAACAAAATATTTATTGAAATTATTTAAAAAAATATATTTTCATTTTTTTTAAAGATCAAGTGATCCTTGTACATATATATTTTTTCAAAAAAAAAAATCCTTTTCTTTTAATGCAGTACATTTGTAGTCTGCTTTGATTAATTCTTGTTTCATTTTTTTTCCAATAAAAACCTGTTTCTTTAGTTCAAACTTTTCTCATACATTTGAACTTATTTGTTTTGAATTGTGGTTAACCAAATAAATTTACAATTTGAAACAAAACATTGTGTATTAGTTGATTTACTTAGCGATTCATAACAGAAGCCAGTAGCTTACTGAAGAGGTGTGTGTGTGCGTGTATTTGTTGGTTTACTGAGCGAATAAGAAAAAAAAAGTATGCTTATTTGTTTTAATAACTGGAGGTGCGTGTGTGTGTGCGTGTATGTGGGGTATGGCGGGGGGGGGGGGGGGTAATAGACCACATTTGGCGTTTTACATTTGAGCACAAAAAGGGCTAGTACAATTAAATAGAAAGCTCATTTTGAGCGGCATTAATACATTTCCCTCAGATCAGTGCAGTGGCGGAACTAGAAAAAAAAGGCTCCCCCGCAAAGAAAAAATTAGGCCCCCCTATGCATACATATATATATATATATATATATATATATATATATATATATATATATATATATATATATATATATATATATATATATATATATATAATCTATATCCTAACTGAGTAATTTAGTCTACTTCTTTGCAATATTTGACCATTCTGAGAGAAAAAAACAGAAAAAAATTATTCCAAACTTGTGTTGAACCAGAAAGATATCATAAATATGCTGGTCAAAAATATATAAAGACGTTAGCTTGTTCGTGAATGGTTTCTCGCGTTATGTTTATTTTTTTCATTTTTGGCTTTTATAATATCAATTTTGAAAACATTGAATTTTATAGCTATACTATTGCATAGTACGTTTTATTTAAGTAACAATTCAGAGAATCAATTGCTTTTTAATATACATAGTACAAAACTATTTAAATGAGCTTCGTGGGCATTCCTATTTTAAAGAAGGGCAGTAAGTCATGGATGTAGTGTGAATGTTTACCTACCTTTCAAACTATAGCTCTTGTAGATTTTAAATTATTTTTCTACGCAACAATCGCTGCTATAGTAGACCTTTTTTTTTTTTTTTTGTTTTTTTTACAAAACCACTTTCAAGATGCATGAAAAACATAATTTTTGAAAAAAAAAATTCATTGTTTTTTGGTCGGAACTGGGCCCCTAACCGTCCTGGGCCCCCCCGCATTGCGGGGTCTGGCGGTATGGTAGTTCCGCCCCTGGATCAGTGGCGTAGCGAGGTCGGGTGTCACCCGGGGCGGCACTTAATGGTGTCACTCCCCAGTGGCGTAGCGACCCTTCCCGGAGACAAACTTTCAATTTTCGCTTTGCAACACCCCCCTCAAACTTTCGATTTGCACCCCCCACTCAAATATTTCTCTATATATTTTGTATTTTTTGCCTTGGTGTCACCCCCCTAAATGGTGTCACCCGGTCCGGTCCGCACCCCCCGCCCCCCTCGCTACGCCTCTGCCTCAGATGACTTTACAGACTTAACGTTCCCTTTTCAACATCTGAAAGGATGGTGTGGTCAGCACTATGGCAGCCGCCTTTACTTTCCCTACCATGAGTCAGAGCTAGTTGGACTCATTGCTGCTCATCTGACTTGAACACAGAATTTGGGTGGGGGGTGTGCACTTGATTTTTTTTTGGAGGGGGGAAGGGGGGGGGGCGGACAACATTTTCCGGGAGAGGGGGGGGGCGGACACTGGTAAAAGTGTGTTTTCTATATAAATTCCATTTCGTTCAGGGGGTGGTTGGAGGGGGAGGGGGGGGGGGGAGTTACGACGTTCTTTTGTGCCCTCTCCCCTCCACCCCTTCCCCCCATGCAGAGATGCCTGAAATAGAAACTGACAGTGAATGATTTTGGGTATGATTAGAAATGTGGGAACGAACTGACTTTCTAGTGTAGTTTCTTTTAATCGAGTTTAATTTTTTAAAAAAAATTAAATACTTATTTGAACGTAAACAGCTACATGGCCTTACACAATGATTTAACTGTTTTCTACATTAACTATGTTGTACTAAAATAAAAATCTTTACTGAATAAGGACTTGTATAACATAGCAAATTGGGTGTGGGGAGGGAAGAGTGGGGGGGGGGGGGGCTTTTCACCAACTTGAATTGCTACATGGACGGGAAAAATGAATAGTTCGCCCCTGGCGCCGAAATGGATATTTGCTACGCCTTTGATTCTGAGGTCCGAACTCTACTTGCCCCATGGACTGTCAGGTTCGAAAAGGGAACTCTACTTTTATAACGGACACTTTAATAGTCGACATGTGTTCATATTTAGACTTACCTTTCTTTTTAAAGAGCAGGCGTCATCTCATGTTGTTTGGACTCACTATCTCGACTATATGGTTAGCATTCAGTTATGCATTGTACTGTTACATTGATTTCGTTCATTTCTTTCTCGTCTAGGGCCTATAATAAAAACATGATTTATCACAAAGTAACCAATTTATTGCAAAATTAGGAAACCAATTAATGATATTTTTGTGTCGGCTAATGTCAAGTCGACTCTTTGTTCTCCACCCCTTTACAACTTAAAGAACTTAATGGTGTCACCACCAGGACACTGGATATAGCCTTGAACCATAAAATAGGGCCTTGGATTAAAATCCATTGTCAGCTAAATTTAGAAAATAAAAATTATTCCTGAATTTTTGTGCAAATAATATGTGAATAAATTAAAAATCTTGTTAGTTTTAACTAAATTTAAATCACGATTTTAAAAAAAAATATCTCCAAGTTCTACAACTCTTTTTTTTAAATGTACACGCATTACTGCTATAATAATCAGGGGAAACTTTAATCTAATTAGTTCCCTTGCCTCAGAGTAGCCGCCCTTTAAATTTTAAATTATTTGTTAAACAAATTTAATTTTATACTAAATATTATCAAAAACTAAAATTCTAAAACTTAGTATAAAATGTATAATAATTGTTTGTAGTAGAAAAAAGTAAATGCTGCAATCATTTTTATTAAATAAATATATTTTAATTGTTTAATTACATTTTGAAAACTTTAGTTAAATAACATTATGTTTTTAAAGCAGACTTCCGTGGGCGCAAAGATAAATTAAGATCATACTTTTAGGGATCATTTCTAAAGTTGGTCTTGCCGGGACATTGAGCAAAATTGAACGGCACGAAAACCATGATGACGAGATTCAGTCACTGCCTCTGAGCGTGAAGTTGATCTCGTGTCAGCCATTGCTCGAGTGGCTGGCACAGTAGATCATTGATGACCGTTCCGCTCCTCCATCAGTGGGGAGCTGGAGGAGGTTGTGACAATCCGAGTGGTTTTTATAAACAAATGTAATGATTGGGAAATAAGAGTCTGCTATCAGCGGCTCTCTGGATGTCGTCAAGATGGTCTCTCCAAATCCATGCAGAAAATGTTAATAAATTTACTTTTCAAAACGTATAACAAATATTATACTGTATAGAAACACAAGTTTGAACAGGATAAAATCACTCACCAGAGAATAGGTGGAGTAGAGAGTATACAGACAGCTGACAGCCGCTTGGGCACCAGTCCCAGCTCAACAGCCGCTGTGGCCAGCCCCGTGCAACAATTCCATCCTTTCCACTGCCTACGTGCAGACCTTTTCGATTATGGTTGAATGGGGAATGGTTTTTTTTTTAAATTTTTTTAATTCAGAATGCATATCTCTATCGGTCAAGATGCTTTAGTTTGACCAAAGTGACTTTTTTTTTCTAAAGTGGGTAGGGATAGTCCTATGGCTATATTATTTGATTACTAATTTTATTATTCTAACAGAGGTAACTAATTTTTTTTAAAATAAAAAATTGAATGTATTAAACAAATTCTTAATCAAATAAAATGTTAGTTGGCTCTTTAAAAACTGGGAAATTTTGAAAATTGTAGCTTTTGGCTCTTCGGTCTTGAAAGGTTGCCGACCCAATGTCTAGAAGACAGTTAATATAATTTAATCATTTAGCTGCAAGTAACAGTATAATATAGATATACTATTTTAAATTTTTTCCTACAATTCCATTATTTAGTGCGTTTCAGTTTTGGATAATAAGCATAATTAAATTGGCCACAACTTGGGGAGAGGGGGAAGATGTGTATATCAAAACATGTTATGTCAAGAAAAGCCTATTACTATTATTCAGTAGCTATTGTCATTTTAGAATTGCCTAGAAATATTCAAGTCATTTAATTGATCGCCTGGAATAATAAAGATGTGATATATAGCCTAAACATTTGGGTGATGTTTGGACCATGTAAATACTAACTGTAGTCTTTGGATGTAACTTTAAAAGTACACCACTAGGCTATTCCAGGGTTCTAAACCATTTCTCATTGACATTATCATGATTAAAACAAAACAATAGATATTTTTTGGTTGAGCAACACCTCTCACCAAATCATGGAATTGTTAAGAATGACTTTATAATATATAACTATCAGCAACACTAACACTAGTGATTCTATTATGGATACTAGGCTTGCTTTAACAAGCCATGAATTTTCTGCTACAGTTAAAAACTGTATAAAAATAATAAAAACCTTACCATTGTCACCCTAATCCACGTTTTAAAAAAGAATTAAACGAATACAAATTTTACATTCCATTTTAAAGTTTATTTACTTTTTCATCTATAATACAATTGAAAAAAATAATAATTAAAAACTATATTATCAGTAGTCAACTGCCAGGTGATTCATTCACTTCAGAAACTTGTACTATAGCGTCATCTTCATCAGAGCTCTCATACTCTTCCGTAGAGTTCCATGTGGCTGTAGATTGCTCTGCAGAATTTAGTTCCAACACTGAAAAGTGGATTGAAAAATATATATGTAAATGTAAAGTATCTTCTTATGGACTCCGACCAATATCCAACTATATTTGAAAATGTTTACAAAACTGATATTTTTATCAAATGAAAGAAAAAGAATACACACAATTACATGGAATACAAAGATTCACACCAACTAATTTTTTTAAACCTATTTCTCCTCCAGTTAGTATACTTTAATTGTAGTTCTCAAATCATGGATCACTAATTTCTTATAAAATAATTCATTATTCATTTTTACAAGATTTTATTTAACTTGCTTCCTTGTGCTGTTGTCTTCATTAAAAGTCAAAATGGGAGAAGGAAATTTTGACCACTACTGTTGGACCGATTTCTTTCAAACTTGGCAAGTGGGTCAAGATCCAATGACAATGCAATTTTACATCTAATTTGACTAAGTTGGATACTTAATTTTCATTTGGTGCACAATTCTTTTTAGTCATGCATTTCAATTTCATTAATACTTTTAAAGAATAGAAAAAAAATTATTCTTTCATTTCTTCTTAAAAGTTAAATATCATTAAAACCTTTAAAAAATATCCCATTTTATCTACTAACTTCAAACTAAAATTATACAGTGTCAGTATCCAACACTAAAATAAATTAATTTTTTTTATAGTAATCCTATAAATACACCAAATATTACACCAAGTATTGAAAACAGCAATGCTTAGTTTTATTGTAAGGTTATGTTAAATATTTTCAAAGCATCATGACAGGTTTAAAAAAAAATTGGCCAGCACAATCTGACAAAATTTGATCCAACAAGACATGCATATTTTGAAACTGTATGATTGAAATTGCATAAGCCCCTGAAACAATCTACATGGCCATAGCCCTCTTCAAGCTTACTTAGTACCAGAGGTGTGGCGACCCTTCCCCACACCTGGGGACAAACTTTTTGATTTGCACCCCCCCCCCCCTCAAGATTTTGATTTGCACCCTCCCCCCCCCCCCTCATACTTTCAATTTGCACCCCCCTCAGCCTTTCAATTTATTTTTCCAACCCATTTTGGCGCCCCTAAGGTCGGCGCCCAGGGACATATGTGTCCCCCCCCCCCTCACTACGCTACTGCTTAGTACCTACCCTTAGGGTCGTAGTTGACTTCAAGCAAATACAACCCACATTCACTGACACTCATCTGACTTGATAAATCAAAATTTGACTGGGGGTTTTCTAGGATATCTTGGAGCACTTCTAATGTCATCTTACCCTTCCCAACCAGCATCATGGCTCCCACAAGCCTTCGCACCTAAAACATAGTGGAAAATTAAGAAGATTAGGTTCACTGTTTTATAATTATTAAAAAAAATAAAACTTAAATTCAATCATGAAAAGAAATCCAGTGAAAAAATAAATAATGTCAATAAATTCATAACTAAATTATGTAGTTTAATATTTGATATTACTTTATTTAATCAATTATTAGACTACACTTAATTGCGTAAATTTAAAAAAAAAAATTGCTACCTAAAAATTAAACGGATTTTTTTTTCATGCACATAATAGCAAACATTATTTAGAAAAAGAATTATATGGAAATGCAGTAGTCATAAAATATCAACATCATTTTTAATACCCTAACAAGACAAGTATCCGGCCAGAAATATTGCTACAAGACTCAAGTTTAGGACAGTCAAGGCGGCTGTGCATAGGACTGACCACACTCATGTTTTATTTCTGAAGTCAAAATAACAGGTGAACTACTTCATCTGCTCTATTGACTATCAGTCCAAAAGAGTCACTTAATACATGTGTGTTGAAAGTTTACAATTATGTCAGTAGTATATATGTGAACCACAGGACTGCATGGCCTAGTGGTAGAATGCTAAACAGCTAACACAAAAGCCTTGAGTTCGAATCCAGGTTCAAGTCAGAGCATCCCTGAGTTCACCCAGCTCTGATGGTTGCCTAACATGTAAGGGAAAGGCAGCTGGGCATAGTGTTAACTGTCATAGCGTAGAGAGATAGAAATAAGACTAGACTGATAGAGATTAATAAGGATGGTGTAAACTTGGTATTGACGGTAGGTGATTTGATTCGAGAGTATGCGCACTTGTTTTATTTATTAGAATATGCGTAGCACAAGTGTGGCGTGACAATAATAGCGGTGACGTAGACACAAGACTGAACAGACAGTTGGGAATTTCGCAGTATTAACAAAGGGACGTGGTTATGTATTTGTGGTGTAGATCTAGTATTAGTGGTTGCTAATTAAAGTTATATTTCATGATCAGACTAGTTGGTATCATTAGTGTTGTCAGAAATAAGAGTGTTCCCGTCCTCATCACTCATCCATTCCCCACCACATAAACCACAATAATCCTTCATATACCGAGGTCAAGAAACATTTGAACTCTATCTTCCCAATTGGTCACTAGGTCCAAAAGAGGAAACCCTACTTACTGACTTATATAAGTGACCCATACCTACCTGTCTGTATAAAAAAGATTTTGACTGTACATGGATTTCCCAGAATTCTAATTCTTTTGAATGAAATAACGGCGTGCAGAGGGGTTGACCCCGTTTAACGCCAATAGTTAACAGTTTCACAGGGTGGGGTTGGTAGGAATTATGCGACATGTTGGTTGAAAAAGATGTAAAGTTGTGAATCCCAGAAAGCATTTCAGCAGCTGACATTAGCATGTCGATGTCTATATGCTGGCTAGGGATAAAAATTTTATTAAATTAAATTATTCAATTAAAAAGCATAAATACCTCTATGAAAGTAAAATGACTTGTAGACTTGTAGGAAATATTGTAATATTCATAACTTCTTAAGAATGCATCATATTTGAATTATTCTACTGATACTGGCTAACTTATCTGACCTCTAAAGATGGGTACCTAACTCATGTTAGGGAAAGTAAAGGTGGCTGGGCAAAGTGCTGATCACACCTTCCCTTTATAAGCCGAGGTCAAGAAACATATGAACTCTACTTCATCTGTCCATTGGATCGCTCGGTTTAAAGATGATTCTTTTTTTAATTTAAGACACTGAGCAGCTAGCAACTTTGTGTAACAATTTTTTTACAGATGTATGATACGATTTGCAAAAATGTCATTTGAAAAAAATGTTTTTGAACTTTTAGGGTGTCATTTTAAAATTGGAATTGAATTTTAACAAATTAATTACCTGACCACCAATAGTTTGCCAAGTTCCAGAAAAGGAACGTTATCACCCATAGACCGTAGAGGGTAGCCAGCCTTGTTTCTGAACTTGAATTTCTTAAACTCTTCTAATTTTGGTTTACTAAAATAAAACATAACTAATGGATAAGTCTCCCCAAAGCATGAAATTGAAATAAACTTAACTATGTAATTTTTACATTCAAACTTTACATTTAAAAAAACTCATTTTCATTGTTTACAATAATGAAAATGAGTAAACAATCTTTCAAAAAGTTTCCAAAAAATAAAGTGTCTATTTTAATCATCTTTTTTTTTTTAGTTAAACGATTAAGGAGCACTTTTTCCTTACAATAATAAAAAAAAAAACAGGCTTAATTACATTTTTTTTTAAACTTTAAAATGTGAAAGTAAACTTTAAAAAGAAAATAATCAAAGAGAAAAGTTTCACCAACATATTTTGTACAGGATTTGATGTCATGGCATGAGCAAATCTGTACACATACTTCCTTCCAGTAGCCATAAATCGACTATGAAATGAATCTGGGACTTGTCTTGTCTCTACAACTCTAGATAGAAGATTCAGGGATAAATAATCAGTATCTAGAATGTAAAATTATCATGAATACACAAACACTCACTGGAGTGACCTAGAGGTAGAGCACTCAATAATGTTTAAGTTAGAAGAATGTCCCCGAGTCCATCTAGCTCTGATGGGTACCTAACTGACGTTAGGGAAAGTAAAGGTGTCTGGGCATGGTGCTGATTACATTATCGATTCTTATGGTGAGGTCACAGAAACCAGCGAACTCTACTTCATCTCTCCCTTGGGGTAACTTTACTTTTTATAAAGATCAGATAACAGATAGAAAATTATTTGCCATGTCTGATGTGCCAATAATTATAATAATTATTAATAATAATAATTATAGTTCTTCTTACCTGACGTCTTCATGTTTGGCTTTTAAATAGAAGTTGGCCACATCAGTTATAAAAGATGGGTCATACTCTTTTTCTCCATATCTGTTAGGAAGACACAGTTAAAAAAGGTATTTGATGAAACCAACATTAAATTAACCATTAAATATCGGAGTTTGAAAAATGTAAAAATCCGTAAAAAAAAAGTACGAATAAAAATATTTTAATATGGGCCACATTAGAAATCAGATATTCATATAAATTCAATTTTGCCAACAAAATGAAAATTTAAAGTTGAAATTATTAAAAAATATTTATATTAGAAGAACTTCAAGTCTTAAGTAATAGTGAATCATTCTTAACAAAAGGATCTCATTGTTTATATTTTGATAAATATAAATATTAATATGAATATTAAAATCTTTTTATGATATGCTGTCAACATTTTTTTCTTTATGAATTTTAGAATTACTTGATTGTAGTATAACTAGATAAAAAAGCTATTAGACTCACAACTTGCTGATTTGTTTTTAAAAATGTATATTCTATTGGTAAAAATAAGTGTATATATTTATATTGGTATTTTACAGAGAAAATATAAGAAAATGCAGGACCTGAATCCTTTTAAAGTAACGAAGATCAACTCAAAGGCTCTAAGTGAGAAACAAACCACTTACGGGTATGTTAAATCAACGTGACATGAATTTTTGAATGCATGAACTCCACTGTCTGTGCGACTTGACAAAACAATTTTAAAATCATTCTTTGGCCTCAAGCGTTGAAGTGCTGCCTAACAAAAAAAAACAAACAAAAAAACTTACTTTACTCCCTTTTAAAAGTTACTCCCAATGTATCTAGGCAACGTACAAGCTTATTTTTAACTTAAATTATTTTAACTTAAAAATATTTAAAATAAAATATACCTGAAGAGCACCTTCAACTGTTAAAATAGGCGCACCTTTAATTAAAGCATTCTGTCTCTGTACACCACTAATCTTTCAAATAAAAAAACATTTTGAAAAAACTGCAAAATAATGATTAATGAGTGTATATATGTATATAGGGCCTATATATATATATATATATATATATATATATATATATATATATATATATAGGCCCTATATACATATATATAGGCTATATATATATATATATATATATATATATATATATATATATATATATATATATATATATATATGGGTGTGTGTTATTGCTTTAATACATGGTGCAGATATTCTACAATTAGTAAGTAATAAATTTATCACTGTTTTCATATTGAAACACAACCAAAGTGAATGTTCTAAAGTTCTAAAATAATTTAACCCTCTAGGAATTAGTATGTTTTAAAAAATTAATTCATTACTACCAAGCCATTATTCTAATGCAACTTAAACCATTAGAATTGGTATTTAACAGGTTTTTTTTAAATAATTAATTTATTAATTACTACAAATTGATTGTTCCAAAAGAATTCAACCCTCTAGAATGAGTATTTAACCAGTTTTTAAAAAACGAGTGTTTTACAGTTATGAAATAATGAATAAATTACCAGACAAACATAATGCAAACACCAAGCCCTGATAACAATAATAATTCTTGTGCCCTTTTTTCAATAACACAGTGAATAGAATATGTCGAAGTGCCAAGTTTGTAGAGTTAAACCATTCACTCACCTGTATCTTGTTCCAAGGTAAGAGAAGTATATCAAAAATCTTCCCATCTTAATGACAGCTTTCACCTGGTTTTAAATTACTAAAAAAGTTAAAGAAAGAATACCAATCAACTTTATGTTACTTTTGCCACGTAAATAAAACTAATGGAAAAATATTGGTTAAAATTTTATGGAAGCAAATCAAAAATCTTAAAACCTCTCCAAATAAGTTAACTGGCTGTTATAGGTAAGTATACAGCCTACGGGGTACATGGATCTAGTCTAGTCTGACGAAATTAATTTTTAGAAAAACATATTTGGCAAAACTGTACTTCAAGCAAAACTGGATTGAGAGCTGAAAAAATGATAGGTAGATCTATATTAAATTATTTTTAAAATAAAAATTAGGAGATTTGTTTGCACATTACATAAGAATGCTGTTGTTAGTGTATCAAAACTAAAAGATGGCAGATCAGGCTAAAAAAATATAACATTTGTGGCAATGCGACCTACCGACAGTGACTACTTTCAAATTAGTATTTACTACTGTTGAAGTCAAAATATCCAAAAACAAATATCATTTCTATAAAAATAAGTTGTATCTGCTAGGGAAACTTTCTTTAAGAGGAAACTTTTCAAAAAACGAGTTTTTAACGCATTTGAAACTAACCTTTATATAGGGGTAAGACCAAAGCAGAGACAGCATGCAATCAGATCGCAAAACCATTAAAACAAGGGGAAAACCATTCTACCTTTTAATTAACATTAGGAAATGACTTGTTAAACTTAATTAACTAATTAATTACTATAAATTAAAAACTTATTAGTATGCAAAACCAAATAAGAAAGTAATGGGAGATTTTGGGTCATGTTTTTACCGCAAACTCAGCCGGTACCAACAACCCTATTACGGTAAAACTCCATTATAGCATATTTTATTCGGCGCTTCGTGTACACCTCCGGTTGTGTGTATTTTATTATAAACACAACCAAAACACACAAAAACATTTAGAAAACACTAGGATTAGATCTAGATCTACTTATTTTTTATGAATGTGTGTTTTAATTAGAAAAGGTAAAAAAAAACATAATAAATAAGCATTACAGTTCCAATAAAATAGTTTGTGATCGTCGGCAGGAGAAAAATCCCTACACGGTTGAGGGTTCACCGTGAGTTCACATTGACTTTAATTATCAGCATACGTCATAGCTTGGGCGATTGCCATTTGAAATTGTGGTGGCTTCAGTGTTGGGGTCATTGTGAGTTCATATGTTTATTTATAGTATCATGGGGGCAAGATACTTTTAACAATACAACCTTAAACGCTTTGCAATTATGAGTTTGGTACTTTACCCATCGGCGTGAGAAAAATCCCTACACGGTTGAGGGTTCATCGTGAGTTCACATTGACTTAAATTATCAGCATACGTCATAGCTTGGGCGATTGCTATTTGAAATTGTGGTGGCTTCAGTGTTGGGGTTATTGTGAGTTCATATGTTTATTTATAGTATTATGCGTGCAAGATACTTTTAACAATACAAACTTAACCACCTTGCAATTATGAGTTTAGTACTTTACTCATTGCCATGGAAATCTTAACTGACACTTTTAAGAGAAAAAAAAACAAAATAGTGGACATTCAATAATTCTAAATTTGGATTTTTCTCAAGTTTTGACAAAAGTAAATTATCTAAAACTAAAATTCATAAAGAAATAGGCTTAGAGTTTTCCTAATGTTTTTGTGTGTTTTGGTTGTGTTTATGATAAAATTACGCTCAACTGGAGGTGAACGTGAAGCAGGGAATCAAATACGCTAAAATGGAGTTTTACCCCCTACTACCTATAATAGACTATACGTCACTACAGGCCTGTATAGCGCATAGATATTAGATAGGCTATTATTTTTTTGAAATCATAAATTAAAATTATTAAATGTGGACAGGCAAAATATTTCAAAATAAACTTTTGTGCAAAAATAAACCCCCAAGAATCGCCCAAGAACTTGAGTTATGATGAGGATGACACACATAAGATATATTTATTAGACTGTAATTCCTTTATAATAAAGTTGGAGAAACTAGCTTAGAAGTCAGAACTAGAATCTAATGATCGAGACCTTCTTTCGTTCGGGCTTGCAGCCTTATCGCAGCGGTAGCCAGCAGCTCGGCAAGCTGCAAGCAGCTGATCCGATGATCGCTACAACACACTGACTGACTGTCACTTTCTTTGACTCTGTCTGCCCGTCCTTTGATCTAATTTAAGCCTTAAGCCATTCTAAGGTATAGTTTAAATGTAGATCTAGATTTAATTTCTAGATTTTAAAATAAAGAGTTTGTTGATCCACACCTTGATTATCGTCAGTTATGGTTAGTTATCACACCGAATTTGCCCCCTGAATTGAGCTTCCGTTTTCACTTTCGTTATTGAGTTAAGATAAATTGTTAAAATAGCAGATAGAGCGCAGAAAATGTGCAATTAGACTACAATACATACACAATCAAGGTTACAGTTTTCCTTCTGGTAGTGTTTTTACAGACAGGTCATACCCATGGCTGGTATGAGCATTTTGAGGCCTTGTTTGCAAGGATTTAGGATAGTGAACAATAGACTCATTCAGACGCCGATTCAGAGACAGTCACAACTATTAGGACAAGGTATTCAGTTTTTTTATTGGTATAGTAATAGCAGTTATTTGCCAGAAGTTATAGTTTTTAGTTAGGCCTAAGCGCGGCCTAAGGCCTAAGTTAGGTGAAATAGCAAGGGTAATCTATCGTTTTGGGTACGTAAAATCGCCCGCGACTTGTAATGTGAAAACCAGGTGACTCCTTAAATTTTAATAATTATTTCACATTTTGAGGAGGATTTATGTTTTTTAAAATACAAAAATGTTTCCTTGTTTCATTTATGTACCTGTTTTTAAAGAATTGAATTAAAACTTTTCAGTAATTAATGAACACCAGCGATGTTTCCAACAGATGCAACCATGCTCATTTACTATAGCAGCCATCTTGTTAAAGTTTTATTTTTATAGACTTATAGCGCAAGATTCAGGCGGAAGTCACTATTTTACAAATGGCGGCTGTTTATATAGCAAATCTTGCTTGCAGACACTGCTGTTTAAAGTTAATTTCTGGCCTATATTGATATATTTAGCCATTGATTTAGGTTTATTATTCATTTATCTATAATATTTGACACAAACATATCACAATATACTTCTATTACAGCCTTGACAATGAGGTAACGTTTTCGTACATTACAAGTCGCGGGCGATTTTATGTACCCAAAACGATAGATTACCATAGCAAGTCCCTTTTAAAATTTAATCAGTGAGTTATCCAATGACTAGACTATGAGTATGTATGTAGTATGTAGTATGTTTCCATCACAGTTTTCCCAAGTTGTTTTTTTCTCTTAGCAAAACTCTAAGGGAACTTTTTTTTTGAAGATTTGCCTGCAATCATGTTGCATAAGAAAAGAAAAATAGCAAAAGTAATTTTAAAGTTTACTAATTAAAAGTAACCCTGCCTTACGTAAATAATGGAGAAAAAAATAAAATTTTCACAATTGAGGGTCCTACAATAAGTGTTTAAGGAAAGATTAAGATAGGCCCATCTGTTCATTTAGAATCCGCACCTTCCAGCATTACAGCCACTCACATACCCTCTCGATCAGTCAGTTTCATGGTAATTCTATGGTTTTTAAACATTAATCATTAAATGTATCAAAAAGCCATTATATATACGGCTATTCACAGTTGACTGGGAATAGACACTTCGATTTTTTATACGAAAGTGTCCAATAATGGAATCTTCCAAATAAAGGGGGTTGTTAGGTAATAACATACTACATAGTTAACTAAAATACACTACGTCAACAGTAGTCAACTCTAATTCTATCCCTGCCCTTACCGAGACCCTAGCTTTGTCCTACCCTAAGCCTAACCCTAATTAGTCAAGATTACAATACTTAAATATTATGACTAACATTACTAGCAGCTTCAACCTAACACACCTATTTTTTTGAAGAGTTTATTTATTATTGGACATCAGTAGGCCTATCTTAAATCATCCCTAGAATCTGTACTCTTTATATATATTTATATTAGCCTCGCTAGGTCTAAATAAAATACTAATACAGTACATACAAAATGGCAAGGCGGTAAAATGTGAGAATAAATGCGAGACAACTGCAAAATTATGGGAAAATAGAAAGGCACAATTTTAGACACAATGTGATCAAATTAGATCAAGTCTGATCAAGTAATCATAACTACACCTACAGGATGACATTATTTTTCACAAGATTAAAGGGCTTTTCAAGAGGCTCTTTCGGTTTTAGAAGCCATTAGCATCAGAAAATGGCAAGTTTGATGGCTCACTCATCTCAAACCACATATCAACAATGACATTAATATAGCAATATATTGCAATACTGATAATAAATTAAAGATTATTACTTAAATTTGGCTGCATTGTGTGTTTATTCTAGAGCAGTTTAGAATAATACTGTAAGGCGTGTTCCAACTGTGTTCAAAGGTCATTGTGCTACGTGTGCAGTAATTACAAAATTTAAATTTTCTGCACTGTTGTAGTTGCAGATAGATTGATTGAAGTTTGTTTTTTGAAATTTTCAGTATCAGTTCGAAATGGTGGACATGAAACCAGAATGGCCATTATTCCCTCCAGATTTGACTGGACACGATTTAAAGATGACTTTGTAAGCCTACTTTGTAAAGATTTTTGCACCTATTAAAGTGCATTTTAATTGCATACAGTATATATTTTATTATTAGTAGTATCAATGTTTCTTATGAAGGTCATAGATTAGAAAAATAAGGTTTATTGTTGTATTTGAGTTATCATGTTGTCGTGCTGGTATATAAGTTGTAAAGAAAGAAATTAACCATTATTAAATCAATTAAACTTGAAAGCAATTTCTAGGTCTTGGACATAACCCCTGTATTTCCCTTATTTTCCTTCTGCAAATAGGCTCCTAACTCCCTATCTTTGTTACAACTCATAACATTTTTTAAAGTGTTTAGTGATAAGTATTTTGACAATGGTAAGAATATAATACATTCCCTCATACTTATGAAGTTGAAAGTCTGGAATTGAAGTTTAATTGAAATCTTGTGTACACATTATTAATTTTATTTTCCAGATCTTCTATCTGATGCTGGGACTTGTGCCCATGATGGCTACTATTACTTCTATAAACTTGTTTATTGGTAAGTTTGATATCAATAAATTCAAATTACTTGAATAAACTTATTTATTAGTAAGTTAGACACAAATAAATTTATATTACTTGTATAAACTTATTTATTGGTAAGTTAGACATCAATAAATACATCACCATTATAGTTTCCCTTTGTGCCCAAGACACATAGGGCAGATGAAGTAGAGTTCATCTGTTTTGGCAAACAGAGGGATAAGATGGTCAGCACTATGCCCAGCTGCCTTAGTTTGTTACCCATCAGAGCTAAATGGACAGGTAGTGACTTAAGCCCTAGATCAGAATTCAAGACTTTCTATACATTTATGCACTAGAATTAGTGGTTTTATTAGTCTATTTCTTTACAGTTGATTTGTTAATAGTAGTACCATAGCCCATGTTATGATAGTTTAAACATACTTTCAGGGCCAGCAGAACTGTCTGAGATTCCAGAAGGTTATGAGCCAAAGGAATGGGAGTACTACAAAGTTTGTGTTTTTAATTATAATGTATAGTTACCTCCCTTTGGTAAAATACGGCTGAAAGTCAGAAATTATTTGAAAATGTACTTTATGTATTCTTAAATATCTTTTTACCGTAACACTGCATTTATTTTATATAAACTATATGGTTATACATATAATCCCACAACTTTTCACAAAAATCAACATCATTAATTTTCCTTCAATGCTCTGGTGGTCTTGTTATAGCCTTCATCCTTAAACTAGTGAACAGTGTAGCTTAATTCAGGTTCATTTTTAAAACATACTTGATGTTTAAATTCTTGTAAACCATACTTTTGAAACATGTAATTTTAGTTGTACGTGATAAAAATTGTTTCAATTTCAATATAAAAAAAACTCATTACACAGCCAATTTATTGCTTACACAAAAAATACTCATTGTCCGCTATTAGGGCTAGTACTTAAAGACAAGCATTGTTGTAGTCATCAGCATATATAGTAGTAAAATGTGAAGGAGGCTTTGAGGGCATTCTACTGACTTATACCTGGATTATAACTTGAGACTGCCAGTCTACCATTAGGCCACACCATCCTATATCCTGCAATTACACAATTTAATTGTATGGACATACTTTCAACTAAAATTAAAACTTTATTTAATCCCAGCTCCCAACCCTATGCTAATTACAACACTCTTTAATGGCAATTAACTATTCGTAATTAACACAGTAAGAGCAAATAAAGAAATGTGTTCTGGGTTTAGTAATTAATGAACCTTTTTTTTTAAATTATAAAGAACAAGCTACTGGCTAACTTTACAAACCTTTAGTTAAGCTAGTAGGCTGTAGTAATGTGATTATTAAAACTTGTGCAATACCATCATTTCTGGTGAAAACAAATATTCAAATGGTTATTTAAACTGCCAATTTATAGAAGACTTGGGTTTTATAAATGCAGTTTACATTTTTGTTAGTTATGATGATGTTGTTAAATAGAAGTTGTTTTTTTCTCCTGAAAGTATGTTACTATTTAACAAATTGATTTTCCAGTCACCTATTAAGAGATGGTTGGCAAAATATGTGTACGAAGAACCTCAGAAGGAGTATGAGCGAACATTGCACTTTCTCCATGAGAGCCAACAGAAGAGATACTGGAGGTTAGTTTTTTAATACCTTTTCAGTTGAAAATCTTCCTTAGAGATGGTTTGGTTTTTTAAAACAGTAAAAGTACACTGGCAATTTAGCCAAAAAAAAAACAATTTAATCCTATTAAAACACGTTTAAAATTTTACTTCAGCAAACTGAAGTTTTATGAGATTAGTTGACTGGGATGGAGTCTTGAAGCTGTTTTTGTTTTAAGTTTGGTTGAGCCTTGTGGAGAGGCTGAATCCACTTAAACTATAAACAGATAACTACTTGATCTTCCCTCTAGACCAGTGGTTCTAAATCTTTTTGGAGGTACCGAACCCTACCAGTTTCAGGTTTGCATTAGGTACTGAACACTACCAGTTTCAGGTTTGCATTAGGTACTGAACACTACCAGTTTCAGATTTGCATTAGGTACTGAACACTACCAGTTTCAGATGCGCATTAATGGAACCCTTCTTAATATTCCATTGTCCTCGCTGAGAAAAATCCAATTGTGACTCACAGGAGTTGGGTGTGTCTTGACCTCCTGCCTCACTGAACCCCTGGGTTTCAATCAAACCCAGGTTAAGAACCACTGTTCTAGACTGAGAAAACAAGCTTTAGATCCAGCAAACCAAAATTTTGTGAGATGGCTGGGATAGATTTAAAGTCCTGGCGCTGTTTACTGGGCTTGGGCATCCTGTGATTCGCTTACCATTCTCATGTTGTAGTCAGACAGATCAGCCCTTCCTTCTAGACTGAAATTACTTATTTAAAAAAGGAATTTTTGTTACGTAAGGCTACCCAGTGTACTTAAAATTATGTTATACATACTTGTGTATGTAATTAGGTACCTCAAACCAATGTTTTTATTATGGTTTTACAGGTTTTTTTTTTGTTTGTTACATAATAGAACTCGGGATTCTAAGATTGTGGATATCAAATTTGTTTAGATATCACAAAGAGACATGTGCATCATGTGCTAGTGTTTTAAAAATATTTTGGTCAAACCTTAAGTGTCATTTTTAAAATTTAAAGGTTATGTCTGTAAAAGTACATTGCTTATTAAACACAATCATTTCAGAATGTACACATATTCAGAGAATCAACATTTTCTATTTATTTGTCTGTATATTTATTTGACTATATATTTTTTAGAGACTTTTAAAAAAGCTATAGAAATATAGTGTTTTTAAAGCTAGTAACTTGATAAAAATTATCCAGTAAATTTGTAGCTGTATCCCTGAATTTTGTGTTCAATATGTTCTATGATGCTAGCTATTGTAATGTACAAATATGAATAATGATGAGGTTGGATCATCAAAATTTCCAAACACTTTTTTAACACTTACTCTGTCTCACCATCGCGTTTTGCAGAAGTAGTCTATTAATTTATGATCAGTCTTCAAGCCAGAATATGATAAGCCATGTATAAAATGTATTGATATAGGTTAAAATAAGTGATATTTTTGTTTGGAACAATTGTTAATTGCACATAGAAAGTAAGGATGTAGAAATTTAATAAGAATGTAGCAAGTGTGTTAATAAAATGTTTCAAAATAATTAAACAAAAAATTATTATATATGTTGGTCTAGGCTGGAGTTTCTGCAGTTTGCCTTAAATTCACTGTGCAGTCATTACTGTTTAGGTCTATTGTTTTATTTTTAATATTCAAACAATACTGTATGTTATAGCAACTGAACCTATAATTATTTTCACTTTGATATTTGGCAGGCTTGTTCAGTTTTTTTAATGTCCAAATATTTATCAGACACGTCTAGATTTCTAATCAGGTTAAACTTACGATTTTATAAAAAATTTTTTTTCAAATGTTTATTCCATAACAAGCAATGGGGCAAGTGAAAGTATTGTACTTTTAAATATTCTACTCGGTACTTCAGGGGAAGGTTAAATATTTTTTTAATGCTTGTAAAGTGACGAGTCTTGAGAAGAATTGAATTTTATGCCTTGGCATAAAGGAAGGGAAATGGAGGAATACCAACAAATAATTTTTCTTTAAATTAAAACACCAATAGGTAATAAGCCTATTACAACACAGTACTTAAGGGATTTTTCCCTGTAGACCAGTGGCAAGTTCCCCCCCCCCCCCCCCCCCCCCCCCCGGTTTGAGGTACTTAATGTAACTAATGTTAATACTAATTTAACTAGTTAATACTAATACTTTTTAAAAAATGCTATATTGATTATTTTCTGTACTTTTTTTTTTTACAAAAGAATAATGAAAAAAAGATATCAGTTCCTGTCCCAAGAAAGGATGGATTACCAAGGATGGTACATAATTGATCCCAGTAATAGGGCTAAATTTTATGCAGAAAATGCAGCTACAAAAGAAATGTATGATAGATAAGTATGCAGGACAGATTGTCACACTGCTACAAACAACTTGTTTGCTGGATTTTCATTGAAATTCTATCAAATACTGTAATGTGTAAATAAACTGAAGTTTGTGTGGTGACAAACCTTTTTCAAGTTCTACATGAAGAAAATCTCTAATAATTTGTTGTAGGTCAATTCACTATTAAAGAATACAAATTTTAGTGTTTCCATCTTCATTTTCTAAATTTGTTATTGAATATCTGTTGGGCCTATGTTTTAACTAATTATGAAATAGTTTGATCATTATCACAAAGACACCTAAGCAAACAAGTTGAAATGATTTTATTATAATATCAGTAACCATAGATTATGAAGGCATATTTACATACAATAATATGTTCAAATACAAAGTATTCATTCAAATAATGATTTTAATTTACAAGTGCAGGCCTACATCATTTTAAACTACAGATACAATAAAATCAAATATTAAATAATATGAACATAGGCGTGGGGAAGAGAAACAAACTGGTCCATAAAATAAATAGGTTATATTAATTACAAAACATCTATCCTGCTCATGAAATAGGGTCACATTTAAAAAGCAGTAATCAGGTAATTAAGTCAATATTTTTCACCTTTAAAAAATGTTTACGTTCTTCAAGTTAAGTGAGCGATGAACAAACTGAAATGTGGATTTGTGGCTGTATAAAATTTGGCCTATATAAGTTACTCTACACCAGGGGTCTCCAAACTTTTCAGCCTGAGGGCCGCATTGGCTATCAAATATCAGCTCAGGAGCCAGTTTCTTCCCCCCATACCCCCCACGAACCTCCCCGCCAACAAAATATGATTTATATAGAAATATATACAAATTTTAACACAATCAAGGTCCAGGTTTGCTCTCAAATTATTCTTCACGTATTTCATTTTAGAATATGTTTGTTCACACAAGTATGTTGTTCCAAAATTTGAAAGGTACTCTGATGCAAAAATTTTAATATTAAAAAAGTCTTCCATGGGCAAAAACTTATAAACCCACCCGCCCATCTTTGAACTTGTCTCTAATGATGACATTTGCTTGCAATTCAAATTGAATTGCACCTCCAGCTGCAGTTCATCTGGGCAACTGGCCACATTAGCTTCAAATGGGTTTTGAAACAGACTCACTTTTTCTGTCTTTAGATCCAATTCAGAAAACAGTTACTGAAACTGCTGCAGCCTGATGTCTTTGATGATCTCACATGCAAATGACGTGGAGAACTCAGTGATTGTTTCATCCATGAGGATTTTGCACTGCTGAAAGTGCGTCAAGTTGTTGGCCTGTACTTGTTCCAAAAACATGACAAGTTTGGATATGCAGGCCTTTAGGTGGGTGTATAGATCAGAAACTAGGTTTCCCTCTCTTGTAGTTTTAGGTTCAGAAAATTTAAATGACTAGTTATGTCTGCAGCAGAGGCCAATGCCAATACCCACTCTTCATCAGACATTAATGGCTGTGGCTTGCCTTTACTTTTAAGGAAGTCACCTATTTCCTTTCTTAACGTAAATACTCTGCTCAGAGCTTTCTCACAAATTAGCCATCTTGCTGCTGTGTAATATGGTAAATCTTGCAATTCCATGTTTGTTTTTTTGACATGTCTCTGAACATTCTGTGGTTGAGCCCATGTGACAGTATGAAATTCACTATCTTCACCACATGATTCAGTACACTGTTAATGTCCAAAACTTGCTGGTGAATAATACAGTGCAGGAACATTGGTTGTAGAATGTTTTTCTCATTCGCTTGTCCAACCAAACCTTTCTTTGTGCCACTCTTGTTCTTTCCTCCATCAACTGTCTGGCAAATGAGGTTAATCCACTCCAAGTTACAATCAGCAAATGTTTTTTAACTCAGGGAATATATCCTCCCCCGTAACAATGCCATACATGTTGTGTAGGGAAGCCAGCTCTTGTGTTATGTTCATGTCTACATCCACACCTCTAATAAACACAAGCAGTTGAAAGGTAGAACAGCTGTCCAGCGACTCATCCATTGCAATTGAAAAATGGTGAAACTTTATACATTTTTTGCTACTTGAGTCACAATGTTTTCACCTATGTCTGCAAAACGGCGGGCAATGGTATTTGCACCCAAAGCTACATTTTCACATTGTTTTCAATTTTCTAGGCAATGTTCCTCAGCCATCTTCAACAAACATTTTTTTCTATGGACTAAAAGAGCTTCGCAGGCTGGATGAGAGGACGCAGCGGGCCGCATCTGGCCCACGGGCCGTAGTTTGGAGACCCCTGCTATACACAAATAATTAACTTATGTTGCCCTGCATCAGTTTTTGCTTTATTTAGCAATAGTTGGAATTTACATCAGATTTATTATTAAAACTTTTTTATCCTCCAACCACTATTGTTCCACAAAACTAAGGTTAACCCACCACACCAACCTCCCATCCAAATAACCAAGTGAAAAGGCTCTTAAACCTTAACCCATTTCATCATTCCTATTGTTTATAAATAAATGCTTTGTCATACTTAAAACCACCTTTCAAACTTGAAACATCACCAGCTGATTAATAACAGACATTTCTGAAAAGAATAAATTACACTATACATTTTGTTTCATTATAAGGTACACAAACAATATGTTGTTGAATGTATATATGAAAATGAAAGTAAAATCAAAGGAACATAATTTAAGAGTACATTCACGTAATGAATAGGTGATCCACATACAATATGTGTAGTTCATTTGCTTATTAATACTTTTAAAATTTCAAATACTTTTACACACATTTGTATCAGTAAATCTTCATGGTAAAAATAGTGAATTTTCAAGCCCCACCCCCTTTAAAAAAATTTTTTTTTACTTGTTTAAACCATCTAAAACTTATTGAAATTGATTGCACAAGAAAGTTCCATCAGTTATTTCCAGTGAATTAAAATGAACTAATAGGGAAGAATTTCCCCATGTAAAGTTACGAGCTTCCCATGCAGAGCCTCGCCAGCTGTGCCAATAACATTCAGACAACTCTGCACACTCTCTGAGGGCTGGAGAGGTGCTCTGTCTGTGCCCATTCTTGTCTTGGCCCACCCTGGATGTATTGCAAATACCAATATTCCATCATCTTTAAGCTCTCTTGAAATCATTATAGTGGCCATGTTTAAAGCTGACTTTGAGCACCTGTTTAAACATAGATCAGAAACTGCAATATTCTGTTTAAAATAATAGCATAAACAAAAATTTCTTTAAAGATGTTAATAAAATTCAGAGAAATATTCTAATTTGAAAACACATTTAATTATACAAAGAACTATGACTAAAATTCACTTCAAAGCAAAATAAAATAGAAAAAAAAAAAACAATCGGTTTTTTAAAAGAAAAAACATGATGTTGGCTGAGGTGTGACGTCTTTTTTGATATGGGAGTTTGGCTTTTTGTGATGATGTGTGACAGTGTGTATGGATAGGAAAAGATAAAAATCATCAAAAGAGCTTGACGTTATTTACGAATGAACCCTAAACCCATAGTTATCCAATGGACAACGAGTGGTCTAGTCATGTTATGAAAATTAACAGCAGTAGGGCAAAGTTATCAAATTACAGACAACAAGCTGCCAGAAGCTAGTGGCATTTAAAAATGTTATTAGTTGTATAATCAAAACATTGAAAATGGGAATGACTCTAAAATTACAATTTTTTTTATTATACAATATGCATAAGAAGATGCCTACTCTTACCAGACTCAAGGAAATAAAACCACATGGCCATTTTGTAACTAATTGTTTTTTTGGTCATCAAGGTTCCTTCTACCACCTCTTACAAAATTCTTATAATTAAAATAACAAGCTTCCCAGCTTTCAATGATAAAATGGCCTCATGCTTCATATTTTAAATTTATGTATTAATAAAATTTAAACAATAAAATGAGAAGACATCTTAGCAGAAGTGAAACTTCAGACAAAACAGTTTACTTGTAATGCAATGATAGTGAAGCTCCTGGTTCATCATCAAACACTATTTGCTGCGAGCCTACTCTAGAAGACATCATCACAACACCTGCTTTACTGCAGCTAAAACCTTTACTGGTAGTGGCAGCCTGCTTAAGAAGTGGGAGAAACTTCTGTACAATAAGAACAGGACCTTGAGGTAAAAAAAGAGAAAAGCAAGCTATAGTTTAATTTATGTATGATTGGGGAGTGAAAAAAATCCTGATAACACTTGTGCAATATACAAATGAGATTACTTTCATTCCTTGTATTAACTTTTAAAAATTTCATTAATAAATTATATTGTAGGCCTATAATTTAACTTAAGGATTTAACTTATTAAGCTAAAGAAAAGTAAATTGAATAAAAAGCCAATTATGTTTTTTTACTTGATCAATCAAAAGTTGATTACTAAATACAATAGTGGGATACTGACTTATTTAGCACTTACTAGTTACATTGACATTAAAATGTTTTTGCATTTTCTCACGAGTCTGTAAAATCAAGCTTCCACTGTTAGATCGGTCATAAATAGCAGCATTGTTTATTAGCAAATTTAGACCTAATTCTCCTACAGCTTCTTTTGTTGCCTATAATTATAAAGAGAAAAATAATAGGCCTATTATAATATTAATATTTAATAGGCCTAGGCCTAAATAGCTAGAATCAAATTATTATAGAATCTAGATTGTAGATCTAATAAACATATGTACGTTCATTGCTTACTTTATGTGTAGGGCTAGATATCTACTTTTATTTTATTCTCAATTACTAGATCTATGTAATATAATAGACAGTTTGAAGTTTCTTTCAGGATGGAGGGGGGTGGGGTGGGGGGGGGGGTGGTGGGTGGGGAAGAATAATGATTACAACATACATTTCATTACATTGTGTTCAGACACAGGACTAGATATTCTAGAATATCTAATACTGGGAACTAATACCTAGGCCTTTACATTTTAAATAAACTGTCATAAAGTACTATAATTACTATAATTTGTTCTATTTGCAGTATATATATTGTGGGGGGGGGGGGGGGCGTTCTGACTGGGCTTCAAAGGAACACTCAAAATATTGTCCATGATTTTAATTAATATTATTAATACTGACGATTGATGTATGTATTGATATTGAGTACTGCTTGGGGTGTGTAGTGTGTGTGTTAGAGAATAGAGAGCGTTAGATCTAGCTGCTAGATTCTAGATCTATATATTACTACTATATATAAATAATATATAATTATAATCTATAGGCCTAGTGCCCTAGTATTCTCTACTATACTATGTATACTATGTAACTATAGCCGCTTTATCATAGCCTAATGTAATAAAGAAATAATTAATATTATTAATTTAAAGCTTTGTTTGGCCTTGTCTACCTGAAAAGCTAACTCGATGTCCTCATCACACTCAACATCTAGCTTAACAATTTTTATGGTTGAGTTGGATGCGAGTGTTGTAGCAAGCTGCTGGAGTTCAGTTGCCCTATCCGGATTTCGAGAAGCAGCAACAATGATTTCGGGTGGATTTTTTAGATTTATCATTTGCTTAACATACTCAAGACCTAGACCACTCGAAGCACCTGTAATAAGAACAGTACGTGGACATAAATCCATTAAAGATTTGTTTTAATTAAACGGTACTTCCTCCAAAAGCCAAAGCCGTTCAAAGCTATATTTATATTATTAACACTAAGGACTTGTAAACAGTGACAAAACCCGGTCTCTTGACTCAATATATCGTTTCGTTATGGTTGATTTTCTATTTTAAGTTTTTAATTAACTTGGCCCACTTTTAAACCGCGGGAGTTTAGCCGGTTGATACGCGTAGAAAGGCATAGGCCGCTACTAATACTAGACTATGTGTTACTATTTTAATATTTAATTTAAATTTAATATGTGATGTGTAGTCCCTAAAATTTAAAATGTAGCTTTGTTGTTTTTTGGGCGTCTGACCAGTATGAGTGTATTGCGTTCTACACCTTGGATCAGGGACAATAATGAAATGATAAATTTAAATGCGTCACCAGGCCACAAAACCCACACCCATTCTTCCAACAGTTTATTAATATGTGAAACTTACTAGACTTCGATGATATCATCAGTTGGATACAAAAAATAGTCCTCTAGGTCCCGAGCCACCATGAACCTCGAATTTTCAGCTTCTGCCTAGGGAACTGAGTTTCTTCCATGCATCTCTTTCCTCGTGGAGAAAAAAGTCTGAAAGAAACACTGCCAGGGTAGATCTAGTTCTGTCTACACAATAATGAATATGTTCTTGATATAAAAATAATCAAATGTCCACGCTCCAGTGGTAATCAATAAATGATGTCACACTTTTTAAAACGAATTCTATCCCCCACCGTCACAAAAACCACACAGACCTACTTCCTCTCATAAAATGACGTCACAAAGCCGAAAAATAGTAAATACCCCTTCCCCTCTCAAAATTACTTTTTGTTTTTAGTTTATAAAAACCGCGATTCCCACATTTACTGAGCTTGGTCTACATTTTGTCTGCTGTTATACTTAATTACAATTTAGTCTTTAAAAATGTGAAATGCTGATAGCTAGAACTCAGTTTTTAAACATTACTATTTAAAACGCAAAAGTGTGTCATCAAACTTTCTGAAATAGCCTACATATTTAGTTCCCTGTTAATAATTAACACAATATTGGCACTTTCACAATGACATTGTTATTGTCTATGATGACTATTGTGTAAAGCTGCACTGGTTTGCACCACCTGGTCTAAATGACTATTGTGTAAAGCTGCACTGGTTTGCACCACCTGGTCTAAATGACTATTGTGTAGAACTGCACTGGTTTGCACCACCTGGTATAAATGACTATTGTGTAGAATTGCACCAGTTTGCACCACCTGGTCTTAATGACTTTTGTGTAGAATTGCACCAGTTTGCACCACCTGGTCTAAATGACTCTTGTGAAGAGTTGCACCAGTATGCACACTAACTGGTCTAAGAAGTGCAATGTGTGCTGGTACGTTCAGTAAAAGTTGTGGCAATAGATACAGCAAATATAACTCCAAGTGTTGGGTCTAATCTCAATTCTCCTTAGAAAAAAAGATAAAATCACTCAAAAATTAACCTTTAATATCAAAATAATTTATAAGTAGTTTAAAGTAGTCAATCATCTTACTTATCTTTTCCTTTGAGTGCCCAAGACACATGTGGCTGTCACAGAAAGCTCCCTCCACTTTTGTTAATAGGTATCAAAAATGAATATAAATAAATACTTAGTTTGATTTTAAGATTTATTTTTCAGAATAAGTTTTACTTGAATAACAAAATGCATTTATTTCCATTAACATACATTATTAAAAAAATTAATATGTAAAAAATATGTAAGGCATTGGACAAATATAATCTGATTAAAGCTTTACTTTAACTGCTTGTACAGACATACATCAAATTATAACATCTATTTATTGACTAGTAACCAGGAAACTGCAGTTTTCAAAGATGAATTGCATCTTATAAATAATTGCTGTCTTGAGAAACTCAAAAGATTATGCTAATAAGAATGCACTTCATGAAGAAATAAATAATGAAAATAAATTCCATAAGATAAATTGAATGTACAGTTGTTTGCTAAGGAGTTAAACTTCAACAATCAATTGTATAAGGAATAATGCTGATGAAATGGAAGAAATAGAAATCAACCAATGATTATTGGGTGAATTTGCAATATCACAATCATAAAAGTCATCAAGAAAAAATCTGCACCTTAAGAAGTATTTTTAATTTGGTTTAATGCCTTTTATAGTCAAATAATGATGCTTGACTTAACAACCAGTGACTCGCTCTATGTACAAATGTTTGTAAAAACAAAAACATAGGCTCTTGGTATTACCATTTTATAATGCACCTACGGTATTGTATTTAAAAATACAAGAATCCTCTTTACAACTAGCGATGCTTTGGGAAGACGAGGAAGAGATCATGTTTCTTAACCTCGGCATATGAAGGGAAGGTGCGGCCAGCGCTTTGCCCAGCCATCAATACTTTTCCTAACAAGAGTTAAGTACCCATCAGAACTGGGTGGACTCAGGGATGTTGTACTGACTTGGACCCGGGTTCTAACTTGAGACTTTTGGGTTAGCAGCCCAGCGCTCTACTGCTTACACCACGCTGTCCCATATGGTATTGTATAGTACCACAGAAATGCACCAATTCAATAAAATCAACCAAAGGTTAAAATGCTTTAAAATCTGAGTAAATTGTGTGTACGAGCCAATCACAAAAAATATGTTAAATTAGGCTTAATTTCCATTCTCTAAGTTTCCAAAACATTTCCTGAAGTTAAAATTGTCTAAAATGTAATTTAATTTTACAATTTTAAAATAAAATTTATCCACCTACAAAAAAGAGTAAACATAATAGCAAATAATGTTAATATAACAAACAAAAATGAAACAAGAATTACAAGAAAAGTTTTAAAAATTCAAAACATTTTACCTGTATAAATACTATAAACACCTTTTACCCATTAAGTAAGATTATGAATATAATTGCTAAGTATGAAGAAGAAACTAAGGAAACAGATATTAAGGCACCCACTAAAAGTATAAAAGTGCTTTTATACATTTTAAAAATGATTTTTCTGTTTACATTCTTCCAATGACTGCCAATCAACAATAAAAGAAAATAAAACATTGCATATGTTTAAACCTAAATGCTTCCCTAAATACTAGTATGGTAAAACTTCCCCATCAAAAGTTACCAATTTACCATTTAAATCTTCCCCTGCTTTGCCTACAACATCCAACAATCCACTGACACTATCTTCAGGGGAAACAGGTGCCTGGTCCGAGCCCATGTCTGTGCGTACCCATCCTGGGTGTAGAGCTAAAACAAGAATACCAGAATCCTTAAGCTCTCTGGAAATCATGATAGCTGCCATGGTCAGAGCAGTTTTGGAGCATCTAAAGACAAAAAAAACATAATTACTGCAATTTTTTTTCAAGAAATAAGTTAATTATATTATAGTAAGGCTTAACTTGAAAACTATGATTAAGCAAAAAGTATTTTAAAATTATTGGACAAGTTTATTAAAACAACAAATCAATAGCTTTCTGGATACATTTTAGTCTATGTTATTTTTTTTAAGGTTAAAAGCGCCACTCAAATTTTAGAGGCATTGTAACTGAAGCATTATGCCCTATGAGATGGCGTGGCCTTGCAGGAGAGAGCTAGACCGCTAATCCGAAAGTCTCAAGTTGTAATCGGGTTAAAGTCAGTAGAATGTACCAAACTCATGATAGGCAAAGTAAAGGCGGCTGGGCGTAGTGCTAAGCTTCATATGCAGAGGTCACAGAAACAGGTGAACTCTACTACCCTTGCCCCATGGACTGTAAGGTTCGAAAAGGGAACTTTACTTTTACTTTGTCCTGCAAGTAATCCAACTACACTAGGTTTTACATGAATGATGTTTCTATAAGCTTGCTTTTTACTTGTAATGAAGACCAACTCCATGGCCTTGAGTAAATGTCCTCTCTTGAGATCCCATTGCAGAAGAAAGCATCAATATCCCAGCTCTGCTGGCACTGAAACCTTTTGAACTATCTTGAGAGGCTGCTTGAGTGATCAGGGGAAGGAACTTTTGTGTTACCACTAATGGCCCTGGAATTTAAAAATTTCAAATGCAAAAGTTTTTTTACAAAAATAATATAAACTTGAAGAAGTTAAAAAAAATTATTTTGATTAGAACTTTTAAAGTAGTTTTACAAGCACTTATAAATGTTAATTAACTTTAATCTTTCTAAATGAATTCTAAATACCATACATCATACACTAATAACTGGTAAACAAAAGCACAAGGGGGAGGGAATGTTTCTTTGAAAGCTGCAGTGTCATAAAATTTACTTTCAAGACATTTTAAACTTGTTTTCTGCCATTTTAACAGTTTGTACACAATAAAAAACAAACCCTCTGAGTATTACAAGTCTATATTACATCAGCAAAACCAGCCTTACCAGAAACATTAACATTAAAGTGATGCTGCATTAGTTCTCTAGTCAAAGTACTTAAAGTTCCTGTTTGATTTTTGTCAAAAATTCCTGCATTGTTGATTAGCAAATTCAATCCTTTATCACCAACAGCATTTTTTGTTTCCTGGAGAGGAAATAAACACATTTATTGGGTAATTTACAACACATAACGTGCTGCAGGCTTTTTCTGTGTTGTAGACATACTGTGTTTAAGTTTAATAAAGTGAAAAAGTATAAATTAATTTAATCTTAGTTTTACTAGCCATCGAAACCAACTAGCTAGTGGCAGGTTTGTGTTCTAGGCATGTATTCTATGCTATACTATGATTATGTATAGTATTGTGTATGTGTTGTAAGTGTTAAGGCGATGTTACACTGGAGCTTAAAAATAAAATACATAACAATTCTTAAGGACGATGGTCTCAGGTCTGTAAACTCTGTGTGGTGGATGATGTATGTAAATTGTAATAAGTATGTATTAGTAAAGTCACCATTAAAATTTTAATTGTACTGCTATACCTAAAATAAAAATTATAGTATATAGTCTCATAGTTTACAATACATCATAAATAACTCTTATTTCTAGATCTATAATATTTCTCATAGAATTAGAACTTGGAGTAACTTATAGAATCTAGATCTAGTAGTAGTAGTCTTTGACTTTGGACCAGGAGTACCTGAAAAGCTGATTCTAGGTCGTCGTCTTTTTCAATATCTAATTTTATAATTTTAACATTAGCATTCGTTTGAGCGATTTCTTGTAATTTTCCTGCAGATGCTGGATTTCTACACGCAGCTATCACTACTTCTGGTGGTGGTGTGAGCTTTAGTAGTTGCCTTACAAATTCCAGTCCTATTCCACGAGATGCACCGGTAACCAGAACAGTCCGTACCGAAAGTGGCATTGTCACTGTGACTGTCTCAGTCTGTTGACTTGACTGCTGTTGTATTACTAGATCTAGCTAGATCTACTCACTACTCGAAAGATTAGGCCTAGATTTGAATTTTAGACCGAATGCTAGATCAAGCCACTTGATATATTTTTTTTATTAATTTAAAATTCAATTGGGAAACGCCTAGATCTAGATTCTAGATCTAGATTAAAACAAGATACAGTTCTAGACTTCTAGATCTAGACAATGTGTTGAGTGTTGGCGTTGAAAAGTAAAATGTCAAAGTTCGATGTCAGGTGTAGCCAGTTAAAAATGTAAAATAATCGCCAAGTTGAAAGAGTTACTTGCAAAGCTCATCATGTAGGCTTGACACAAGACCTACTCGTAATAATTATTTCTAATACATTTAACACATCAAAGAACCTACATCTAGATCTAGATAATTTCTAACCAGTCAACACTTTTTTGAAGCTATGTATATTTACCTAATAATGATATATTAGCCGGTTGATCCGTGAGAAAGAAGAGAAACAAAGGATTGTAAAATAAAAATAAGAAAATACTGTTTCGTCGCACATATGCCTAGATTTGGTCAATTTGAGTACCATAATAAGTTAATAGGCCTATGTTGGGTAACATTTAAAACCCTACAGGTAACAGGACAGCAACTCGACTGAGTAACTATCACAGTTCCAGGTGAAATGCCATTTTGTCGATGTAGCTTTTATTTATATCATAGCTGTCAAATACATTAACAATTTAAATGAAAACATGTTGGTCTGCAAATGGACTGCACTGTCAAATTTTCTCTAGATCCAGTAGGCTAAACGCTTGTCTGTGATGCAGAACTTTTAAGATTTCCGTTCAAGACTTTTTGTAAAATGCCAACCTGCTCATATCCTATTAGTGAGTCGACAAAATCTCCAATAGAAACAGCTGATTTAGCATCAGAATAGTTTGACACTGACAGATGCTTAGAACAAGTTTTAATGTAGCCATACAAACATTAATACGTATCACTATCATTTCATACTTCATACGATTACACGTTCAACAAATAACAATAACAAGCAGTTTATAAAATTTTGAAATAAACTAAACTAAATCATTGTTGTTTTGTCTAGGGAAAGGCCGCGTTTAAGGGTTAGTGTTGCGATAAGTTTACATTTCTATTTCTACTTGTATTTGTTGAATGTTATCAAATATTTAAGAAATATTCAAAGATGTCAGTAATTTATTAAAAATAAGCAGTACAAAAAAAACATGACGAATTCGTAACTCGAATACTAATACACAATTTATTACTAAAATACTCTTTTACAATTAGAAAAATAGGTCTATGTTCGAGTCTTCAGTTTATAAAGAAAGCCAACACAAAATGCGTATTGACCGGTTGCCAAAAAAAAAAAAAAAAAAAAAAAAAAAGCCCACAATGAGATCCATTAAAACTTAAAAGGATGATTACATAAAAACCTATTGAATGTTTATATATTAGCTCCCGTTGGGCGCTGGACTGGATGTATTCCATTTGGTGAAATCATCTTTTCCTTTACCCTCAGCGCGGTCAGTGTTATCATACTGGTCAAGAGGCAGTCTGGACAGTTTATTCTCTAGAGGCATTCTGGAAAGTTCAGCGTCATGGGAATACGCCAAAGTTATTTTTGTGTCAGTTTCAGGGGGGACAGCCCACGTCTGAAGTTCGCCGTCTGCTAATATCAAGTAGATTACCGCCCCTGATGCTGCAGTGGCTGCGCAGACGTAGAAAACGTTCTTCCATTCATCATTTGACTTCTGCAAATATCCAATTATTTTTACATATTTCATATTTTAAAACACGTTTTCTTACAATTGCCTAGCTTTATTATGAAAGTAAAATTTTATATAAAGATGTTCCATCCTATTTTTTTGTAGCGAATAACATTTAGCGAATAACATTTAGTGTTTTTCACAGTCTTTTCTGTTGATGTAGAGTCAATGGTCTTATTTCTTATTCAATTAAAAGTCAATTTATGTAATGATAAAGAGCAGTGTATCACTCCCACGCTCTTGTGTTCGAAAGTTTAACACTTATGGTGGTCTGATACAGTAGTGGATTGGCTGTGTCTAAGTTGTCTGGGAAATTTTAAAAGGGGCCCCAACCGCAGATTGACAATTTTGAAATTTTCCTTGTGCATTTCCCCCCATCAAATTGAATTTTACGCTTTGGTATGAAAGATCGGAGATGGTAAAATGGAGAAATACCACCAAATTATTATTATGACTATTACAGCACCGTTCCCGAGGTATTTTTTTAAACCTGTAAACCGGCGGGCCAGTCCGCCCTTGGTCAAATAATTTCACTATTAAAAGATTACTGGGACACCACAAAACCTAAAAGTGTGGTGTAGATTACAAGCTCAAATACCGTAGTCAGTTTACAGAAACATGGCTTATTACTTAACATGGTACTGACGCTGAACTATACAGCTATCATCCTGTACTTGGGTTGATTTTCATGTCTACGTACAAATGTAAATATTAAAACATGTAACGTCATCATGTTTCTGTTTAATTACTTCAAGTAGAATACACCCGCAGCATCCCCCCACCCCCCATTCACATACTTTTGCATGCGCATACAAATATACTCTTACAAAGACAGGTACATTTACAAGAGCACATGCACATATTTTATACACGTTAACACACAAATCAATACCCATACACACACATTTATTTAAGGAACACTTTACCCTCATGAATTTATCTTGATATCATAGATTTTTTTAGGGAAAGTAGTGTGACTCAGCTGACACCTTTGATCACACAAGCTTTTGTCTATACAACATGCATACTAATGAATGTTAAACAGATGTGTGTTTCTGTACATTTTCATGTTTAAATTTTGCCAAGTAAACACATTTGAAATGTCAAACAGTGCAAAAGTTTGTAGTTCTATGTTATTTTTAACACGTTTTTCTTAACTCAGCTTCGCGTTTGTGGATTTGTTTGTTTGTTGTTAAAATTGACATCGAAAATTAGCCCACTTCTGATTGCTCTACAGATCTGAAATTTGGCATACAGGCTACTTTCGCCTAACAATTTCAGATGCAATCATAAAAACTAGCAATTAGAGACCGTAATTAGCTTAATTTAATTACGCCCCAAGGACCATAAAATTGAGGACATGATTTCTAAAGATACCGACAAGACTGGAGGCTTATAGACACAGTTACTTCGGCCCCAATCGATGTGAGCGCGCTGGCCGTGATCGTATAGTGGTTAGTACTTCGCGTTGTGGCCGCGACAACCCAGGTTCGAATCCTGGTCGCTCAAGATTTTTTTAGTCCGTGTATTTATAAACACTTAGTCAAGTCATACTTAATCAAGTCATTAGATAAAGTAGAAAATAAACTATATAAACAACTTTTTTAAAAACCACGTTTTTCATGTGTAGCAACGGACTAAAAAGGAGAAAATAAAATACTTAAAAAAAACTTTTTAAAAAACCACGTTTTTCTTGTGGACTAAAAAGTAGAAAATAAATTTTTCTTTTGTGCTTCCTCGAGCTGTGCAGGTTCTTGTGATGACTGACAAAAAACGTGGGTCGGGCAGATGGGTCGGGAAATTTGATGGCGAACGTACCCACGTTTTTTGTCAGTCATCACAAGAACCTGCACAGCTCGAGGAAGCACAAAAGAAAAATTTATTTTCTACTTTTTAGTCCACAAGAAAAACGTGGTTTTTTAAAAAGTTTTTTTAAAGTATTTTATTCCTGTTTACTTTCGCCAAGTACATAGATGTCAATGTTAAACAGTGAGAAGTCGTGTCTTTCGGTGTTATTTTTCTTGTTTACTTTCACCAAATCCACATTTTTAATTAAAAAAAAAACAACAACCGTTAATACGTGTATTTCTGTGTGCCCCCCCCCCCCCGTATACTTACATTAGGTGTCAGAGCACCAGCAATGATGGGTGCAACCATGCCAGGTACTGTGGCTATTGTGTTTGTTATGCCAAACAAAATCCCAGCATAACTGAAAGGAACGATAAATGAAGGGATATAATCATAACCAAAGTTTCCTGTGTCTTGATATTTAAATATCTAATATCAAAGGCGAACCATTACAAAATATTTTCCAGTTCAGATTGTCTTTAACTGCAATACAACAGTTTGTTTAAGAAAAAATTGAAACATAAAATTATTGTAAAATTAATTGTTTTGAATAATTTAAAGGAGCCAAAAGAAATGTATTTAAATAAATTTAAAAAAAAATCATTTGTTTTCTTGCGTTATCTTTTAATTATTTGTGTTGCTTTTTTCCTTTTTGTAGAAGACTTTTATAAAACACATTGACTAACACAATAAACATAAACATGATAGCACACATACCTTATATATTCTAAAATTGAATGTAACACTAAAGAAGTAATTAAAATTTTCTCTCAAATTTAACTATCCATAGTCATGTTTCTTGTCCTCGGCATATGAAAGAAATGATGTGATCAGCAGTATGCATAGCCGGCTTTACGTTCCCTAAAATGAGTCCGGTACTCATTAGCGCTGGGTGAATTTAAAAACGTGTTGCAGTCATGATTCCGGACGAGATCCGAACTCGGGACTATGGGGCCAGCCACTGACCTGGCTACAGCCCGACCCCGCCCCCCCCCTCCCCCTGCCTTAATAGTGTTATGAGTAATTTGGTTCAATTCATGAATATACAAAGAAGTTATCAAGGGGATTATACAGGTCATTTATTCTTGCACAATTTACAAGACTAGTACTTTCTAGGTCAGAAAAGCGAACTTAAAAAAAACATTTCGTACCTGGGGGCCAGGTCTAAATGATTGGCGCAATAGCCGGACCTGTTGAGGCCCATGAAGGATGTACACAAACACAACAAAGCCACGGCAATATGGCGGTGTTCACAGCTCATCTGACCAACACTGGCGATACAAATGGCGGTCCCTACAAAAGCTGGAAAGACACAATCATGACTATAATTTTTAATAATGTAGCCGGTTACCTAAGCACATTTTATGTTCAACGTCATAGTGTAGAAAAACTGACGTACATTGCCAAAATAAAACACGTACTCTTGTTACATTTAAAAAGTTCGTACAAGAAAACAAAACAAAAAAACATCTAAACTGGAAAGACCTTCTGACTGTCCCACTTACACTTACATGTAAACTAGAAAGACCTTCTGACTGTCCCACTTACACTTAAATGTAAACTGGAAAGACCTTCTGACTGTCCCACTTACACTTAAATGTAAACTGGAAAGACCTTCTGACTGTCCCACTTACACTTAAATGTAATCTGGAAAGACCTTCTGACTGTCCCACTTACACTTAAATGTAAACTGGAAAGACCTTCTGACTGTCCCACTTACATGTAAACTGGAAAGACCTTCTGACTGTCCCATTTACATGTAAACTGGAAAGACCTTCTGACTGTCCCACTTACACTTAAATGTAAACTGGAAAGACCTTCTGACTGTCCCACTTACACTTAAATGTAAACTGGAAAGACCTTCTGACTGTCCCACTTACATGTAAACTGGAAAGACCTTCTGACTGTCCCACTTACACTTAAATGTAAACTGGAAAGACCTTCTGACTGTCCCACTTACACTTAAATGTAAACTGAAAAGACCTTCTGACTGTCCCACTTACACTTAAATGTAAACTGGAAAGACCTTCTGACTGTCCCACTTACACTTAAATGTAAACTGGAAAGACCTTCTGACTGTCCCACTTACACTTACATGTAAACTAGAAAGACCTTCCTGAATGACCCACTTACATGTAAACTAGAAAGACCTTCTGACTGTCCCACTTACAAGTAAACTGGAAAGACCTTCTCACTTACCACTTACACTTAAATGTAAACTGGAAAGACCTTCTGACTGTCCCATTTACATATAAACTGGAAAGACCTTCTGACAGCCCTACTTACACTTACATGTAAACTGGAAAGACCTTCTGACTGCCCCACTTACATGTAAACTGGAAAGACCTTCTGACTTCCCCACTAACACTTACATGTGAACTGGAAAGACCTTCTGACTGTTCTTGTAGACATCCAGCCCTTCTCTCTGAATGTGTCAGCGGCGTAACCCCCGGCAATAGAAGAGACGAACTGGCACACATAGGGCAGGGCAGACAGAAGCCCGTTCTGGGAGATCAGACAGTATGACGCCTCGTTTTTAAATAGTAAATTTACGTGTTTGTGGTCGATATATTTTATTTTTTATGAAGTCTAGCCCCACACCCTATTACATTTTTAACATGTAATTTAAAAAAAATAAACCGGGAGTGATCTCCCCCGAAACTTTCTCGAATATTCTTATATAAAATAACAGGGGATGGGAACTCGGGCTATAGACATGATTTTTAATCCATTTTAAATACTTAAAGTTTTAAAAATAGAATAAAATCTCGTAGACAAATTAATTGCACACCAAGTGAACGCGAAATAAAAAAGCGCATAATAGTGCGCAATATTATTATTACTTTTAAAATTTACATTAGTTTTTTGAGAAATCGGAAGTAGCGTAAAGTACTACTTTCAGTCAACGGAAATTACTCAAAATTTAATAGAAGGTAGAGAATTAGATCTTTTACTTACGTATGAAATTTCATTTATCTATCTGAAATAGTACTCAAGTTATAGGCTTTTGAAAAATTCAAAGTAGGAAAAGTACCACTTCCGGTTATCGGAAATCGCCCAAAAGTTGATACGGATCTACGATTTTGATTAAATACTTATATATGAAATTTCATCAACCTAGCTGTAACGGTACTCAAGTTATCGTGTTTACACACGGACACACACACACACACACACACACACACAGACACACAGACATACGGACAAGATTGCAAAATTATGTTTTTCCGTATCAGTGAGATGTAAAACGTCGAGATTTGCAAAAATCTCGATTTTTTTTTGCACGATTACAAGACTTTCTCTATACTTCGTATATACGAGAAAGTAAATATCACTTTCTTAAGTTAAGACGCCTAATAAATGTGTGTAAATCTAAAGGCGGATATTAGGAGAGACAGTCAGGCTAGACTTTCAATATATATATATATATATATATATATATATATATATATATATATATATATATATATATATATATATATATATATATATATATATATATATATATATTTATATATATATATATATGTATATATATATATATATATATATATATATATATATATATATATATATATATATATATATGTATATATATATATATATATATATATATATATATATATATATATATATGTGTGTGTGTGTATATATCAGCACCCCCTCCCCTATTAATATGATAGGGTAGATCCACCTATGAAAATAAAAGAAAGATTTAACACTATTAACACTGTACCAATAGCATCCAGGCAGATAAAGCTACTTCATTGTGCGCTGATAAAGGTGTCATAAAACTAACCATTGTAGGGTTTCTTTCAGGCATGTCCCTCGTTGGAAAGGGGGGGGGGGGCACTTGAAACTTTTGGGGGCAGCATTAAATATGTAATTTAGACTTTAATATTTTCTTGATAAATTTAATATTTATCTATTTTTTTTACCCGGGGGGGGGGGGGGGGGTGGGTTGGGGGGAATGCCTGAGAGAAACACTGACCTTTACCCCAACTAGCTCTCTAGTCTTAGATCCGATTTTTATCCTAACATTTACAAGTAACATCGATACCAGCAGTATAAAAAAACCCCACAGTATCAATAAGTTACGAGACTTCCCTACCTGAGATCTTACAAGAACAGAGTTTCTTCCAGGCATCTCTTCGGGGGGGCGAAGCCCCCCCGAAAAATTTTTACCGCCCCCCCCGAACGAAATGAAATTTATATAATTTATATAGAAAATATATACTTTTAACAGTGTCCGCCCCCCCGAAGAAAGTTTACCGCCCCCCCCGAAGATTTCAAGTGCCCCCCCCCCCGGAGAAAAAAGTCTGGAAGAAACACTGTACAAGAACCCAAGCTTTGGACAAACCTGCTTAATGTCGAAATGTAAGCTTTCTTTCATGAAAAGAGGAAGTGACGTCAGCAACGTATAACTAACGTAGTTGGTGCACGTGTGAGCTATGATGACAGCCAGCATCGGACAGGAAGTTGCTATTTTTAACCAGGGTACACGTCTGACCTTCACAGAAAGTAAACAAAGATGTTTTAAACTTTTTGTAATAACACTTATTTTACTGCTTTACAAAACAAACTCAATGTTTAAAATACAATTTTTTAAAAATCTTAATTTTTTTTTAACTCGGGAGACAATGGACGCACCAAAGAAACCAGGTGTATAATTCTATCGTCTAAAGGGCTATATTCCACTGTTTTATTTCAGAGTTTTCTTTCCAAGATGGGTTGCTGTTCCCATTGAACAATCCTTATCTGCCTAGGGGTTCGAACTCGGGAATTTCATGTTAATAGAAATGAGCTCTCCCACCGGATCACGGTGACCGCTATATCATATTAAACATCTAATAGCCATTTAGGCACTACTGCCACAAGAAAAAGGTGTGTGTATGGGGGGGGGGAGTTTAGGGGGTGATACCACTCGAAACATTATTGGAGAATGGGTGGGGAGGGGGTAGCACCCTCGATTACCTCACCGAGTGACACCATTAAGGGGATGACACCAATTTAAAAAAATCTAAAACTATCGGAGAGTGGGATGGGGTACCACTGGGTTACACCCGACCTAGTGACGCCACTGCATCTAGGTCTGTTGATTTATCTAGCCCTTCCACACTGACAACGAGTTTTTTACAAGAGCGTTACCAACCAAGGAAAATAACCAGCCGTACCTTCTTGACGTCGCCTCTGCCTATGAAAGCCTCGATGTAGAACTTCTCCCTTACCTTCTTGATGTCGCCTCTGCCTATGGAAGCCTCGATGTAGAACTTCTCCCTTACCTTCTTGACGTCGCCTCTGCCTATGGAAGCCTCGATGTAGAACTTCTCCCTTACCTTCTTGACGTCGCCTCTGCCTATGGAAGCCTCGATGTAGAACTTCTCCCTTACCTTCTTCACGTCGCCTCTGTCTATGGAAGCCTCGATGTAGAACTTCTCCCTTACCTTCTTGACGTCGCCTCTGCCTATGGAAGCCTCGATGTAGAACTTCTCCCTTACCTTCTTGACGTCGCCTCTGCCTATGGAAGCCTCGATGTAGAACTTCTCCCTTACCTTCTTGACGTCGCCTCTGCCTATGGAAGCCTCGATGTAGAACTTCTCCCTTACCTTCTTGACGTCGCCTCTGCCTATGGAAGCCTCGATGTAGAACTTCTCCCTTACCTTCTTCACGTCGCCTCTGTCTATGGAAGCCTCGATGTAGAACTTCTCCCTTACCTTCTTGACGTCGCCTCTGCCTATGGAAGCCTCGATGTAGAACTTCTCCCTTACCTTCTTGACGTCGCCTATGGAAGCCTCGATGTAGAACTTCTCCCTTACCTTCTTGACGTCGCCTATGGAAGCCTTGATGTAGAACTTCCCCCTTACCTTCTTGACGTCGCCTCTGCCTATGGAAGCCTCGATGTAGAACTTCTCCCTTACCTTCTTCACGTCGCCTCTGCCTATGGAAGCCTCGATGTAGAACTTCTCCCTTACCTTCTTGACGTCGCCTCTGCCTATGGAAGCCTCGATGTAGAACTTCTCCCTTACCTTCTTGACGTCGCCTCTGCCTATGGAAGCCTCGATGTAGAACTTCTCCCTTACCTTCTTGACGTCGCCTCTGCCTATGGAAGCCTCGATGTAGAACTTCTCCCTTACCTTCTTGACGTCGCCTCTGCCTATGGAAGCCTCGATGTAGAACTTCTCCCTTACCTTCTTGACATCGCCTCTGCCTATGGAAGCCTCGATGTACAACTTCTCCCTTACCTTCTTGACGTCGCCTATGGAAGCCTTGATGTAGAACTTCTCCCTTACCTTCTTGACGTCGCCTCTGCCTATGGAAGCCTCGATGTAGAACTTCTCCCTTACCTTCTTCACGTCGCCTATGGAAGCCTTGATGCAGAACTTCTCCCTTACCTTCTTGACGTCGCCTCTGCCTATGGAAGCCTCGGTGTAGAACTTCTCCCTTACCTTCTTGACGTCGCCTCTGCCTATGGAAGCCTCGATGTAGAACTTCTCCCTTACCTTCTTGACGTCGCCTCTGCCTATGGAAGCCTCGATGTAGAACTTCTCCCTTACCTTCTTGACGTCGCCTCTGCCTATGGAAGCCTCAATGTAGAACTTCTCCCTTACCTTCTTGACGTCGCCTCTGCCTATGGAAGCCTCGATGTAGAACTTCTCCCTTACCTTCTTGACGTCGCCTCTGCCTATGGAAGCCTCGATGTAGATCTTCTCCCTTACCTTCTTGACGTCGCCTCTGCCTATGGAAGCCTCGATGTAGAACTTCTCCCTTACCTTCTTGACGTCGCCTCTGCCTATGGAAGCCTCGGTGTAGAACTTCTCCCTTACCTTCTTGACGTCGCCTCTGCCTATGGAAGCCTCGATGTAGAACTTCTCCCTTACCTTCTTGACGTCGCCTCTGCCTATGGAAGCCTCGATGTAGAACTTCTCCCTTACCTTCTTGACGTCGCCTCTGCCTATGGAAGCCTCGATGTAGAACTTCTCCCTTACCTTATTGACGTCGCCTCTGCCTATGGAAGCCTCGGTGTAGAACTTCTCCCTTACCTTATTGACGTCGCCTCTGCCTATGGAAGCCTCGGTGTAGAACTTCTCCCTTACCTTCTTGACGTCGCCTCTATCTATGGAAGCCTCGGTGTAGAACTTCTCCCTTACCTTCTTGACGTCGCCTCTGCCTATGGAAGCCTCGATGTAGAACTTCTCCCTTACCTTCTTGACGTCGCCTCTGCCTATGGAAACTTCGATGTAGAACTTCTCCCTTACCTTCTTGACGTCGCCTCTGCCTATGGAAGCCTCGATGTAGAACCTCTCCCTTACCTTCTTGACGTCGCCTCTGCCCATGGAAGCCTCGATGTAGAACTTCTCCCTTACCTTCTTGACGTCGCCTCTGCCTATGGAAGCCTCGATGTAGAACTTCTCCCTTACCTTCTTGACGTCGCCTCTGCCTATGGAAGCCTCGATGTAGAACTTCTCCCTTACCTACTTGACGTCGCCTCTGCCTATGGAAGCCTCGGTGTAGAACTTCTCCCTTACCTTCTTGACGTCGCCTCTGCCTATGGAAGCCTCGATGTAGAACTTCTCCCTTACCTTCTTGACGTCGCCTCTGCCTATGAAAGCCTCGATGTAGAACTTTTCCCTTACCTTCTTGACGTCGCCTCTGCCTATGGAAGCCTCGGTGTAGAACTTCTCCCTTACCTTCTTGACGTCGCCTCTACCTATGGAAGCCTCGGTGTAGAACTTCTCCCTTACCTTCTTGACGTCGCCTCTGCCTATGGAAGCCTCGATGTAGAACTTCTCCCTTACCTTCTTGACGTCGCCTCTGCCTATGGAAGCCTCGATGTAGAACTTCTCCCTTACCTTCTTGACGTCGCCTCTGCCTATGGAAGCCTCGATGTAGAACTTCTCCCTTACCTTCTTGACGTCGCCTCTGCCTATGGAAGCCTCGATGTAGACCTTCTCCCTCTCCGTGATGAACCTGTGTTTAGCTGGGGTGTCGGCCGTGAAGAGAAACCAGAGGACAACCCACAGCATGTTGAACAGACCTGGAGGTGGGGGATGGGGGTGGGTGATGGGGTGGGGTGGATGTGTTATATTATTTATATAAAAGCTCATGAAATTAATCACATGTCATACAGTTTTCCCATATGACCTAGCCATTTATCGAGGTGCATGCAAAAAAAAAAATAACCAGATGTACTGAGGTTAAGTACCTTAAAATCTTTTTTTTTTTTAAAATAACTCTGTTTTTTTTACATAAATTACAATGTATATATAGGAAAATACGACTCGTCAGTTTTGGCCGCTTTACCGATTTTTCTAAGATATGACACGTTTTTTCAGGTATCCATGGACATTGGTCTGCAAACTCATGGAATACCAAGGGTAGTCTCAGAAATCGTCGATCGTCGACGAAACAGAAAATTCTAAAGCTTAACGTCAAATGGGAAATGAATGAGAGTTCGATTACATTTTTATTATTGAGTGGAAAATGAAGAAAAATCCTAACATCAACAGATGTACTACTGTCTGAGACTTTTAATTTGGTTAGGAAATGTGCAAAAAAAAAAAACAACCGCAATGTCGGTTATGTAACCCGAAAGCTTCGTATATGGTTTTAGCATAATACTCGGTTGTGTCAGAGAGCTGTTTTTGATCAAATCAAAGTGTTAACAAGTAAACATCTTTTCTGTTTTTGTGCATCGGCGTGGTTGAGCAGTGGAATGCACCATTGCTATTGCAAAATTATCAAATCTCCTGAGTTCGTTTCCTGGAAGTCAAATTTGTACCACGTCACGAGTCCACCCAACTTTGGTGGGAAAGTAAAGGTAGATGGGCAAAAACTGACAACGCAATCCCTCTGTGACGCTGAAGACATAGGAGTTGATGAGCTCTTCTTCGTCATAATAAACATCAAGCCCTAAAGGCTACATTCTAAAAAGTATAATCCATAAAAAGTAACTAAAAACGGTACAATGTTACATTAACTTACCAGACAAGTAAAAGATGGAGCCCCAGCCATTGTCGAACCCGTACTGACAGAGTAGCCCAGATATAGCAAAGGTTGCAACATTTCCCAACATTTGGCCTGGGGGAAAAAGATTGTGCCTATAGCATTGATGAGGTAGAAGTTTTAGATAAAGGCAAACTATACAAGAAGATTATTTTTTTGGTCTCAATTTATAAAAAAAATAAAAAAAAAATAAATAAAAATAAATAAATAAACTAAGATTTTATTTTTATTTAATGAATCAGACTAAAATATACGAAAAACAATCTATTAAAGTAGAATTTTCATCGAGTGTTCTTTACATTTTGCGGATTTTAAAACAAACTTTAAACAACCACCAAATGACAGAAATTTACTGTTTGTATATTTTAATTTTACTATTCTTGTTACAAAACGTTTTGTTTTCTTTTTACGGCGTACATTTTAACGTATGATTACAATATTATGAATGAGAATTTGACGTGAACATACCCGCGGATGTGAAGGAAACCATTTTGCTCCTCTCAAAAGGTGGCGACCATTTACCAAGCATGGCGTGAATACATGGGAAGGTAACGCCCTAGATAACAGTTTGAATTGAATTACTTTTAAAAAATGTGTACACAATAGATTCAATAAATACATTGTATCGATATTTAGGAAGACAACAATTGAAAATGGTAAAACAGCTGTTTTTGTGAGTGTGTGCATAAGCACGTGAAAAGATTGGATATATATATATATATATATATATATATATATATATATATATATATATATATATATATATATATATATATATATATATATCATGGAATTGGTAAATTTGACGTTGAAAGTTCACTTTCGAACCTTACGGTCCATGGAGCAGGTGCGGTAAAGCTCGTTTACTTCAGTTTCGACGGCATTTAAAGGGAAAGTTGGGGTAGTATTATGCGTAATGCTATTTACTTTTCGTAATGTTAGTCAGGTACCCATTAGAGCTGGGTGGACTCAGGGACGTCGTACGAACCCAAGCTAGGGATTCGAACTCGATACTTTCGGGTAAGCAGGCGACCACACACTGACAGTGTTTCTTCCAGACTTTTTTTCTCCTGGGGGGGGGGCACTTGAAAATTCGAGGGGGGGGGGTGGGTCTTAAAATTCCTGAGGAAGCGGACACTGTTAAAAGTAATATTTTCTATATCCCGAAGGGATGCCTGGAAGAAACTCTGCACACAGATGTAAAACTTGAAGTAGGAACTGTCTTTACTATTAATTAACTACTCACTGCGGCAAATCCCAGGATAAAACGTATAGCGTACACGAGGTACACGTGCGTTCTAGCACTCACGGGAGTCAAGAGTGAGCACAGGGCACAGAAAAACATGGCCACACCCCAGACTCTTTTACCGCCATACCTGGACGCCAGCCACCCACCTGGTCATAGAATTAAAACAAAATAAAGTGGTGCTATATGGATATCAGAACGTCACCCATCTAGATCTAGAATTAAAACAAAAAAAATAGACGCTACATGAATATCAGAACGCCACCCACATAGACATAGCATTAAGACAAAATATATAGGCGCTATATGGATATCAGAACGTCACCCAACTAGACATAGCATTAAGACAAAATATATAGGCGCTATATGGATATCAGAACGTCACCCAACTAGACATAGAATTAAAACAAAATAAATTGGCGCTACATGAATACATGGACGCCACACATCTGGGCATAGAAAACAAAATAAATAGGCGCTATATTATGAATATCAGAACGCCGCCAATCTGGACAGAGAATTAAAACAAAATAAATAGGCGCTACATGAATATCAGAACGCCACCCAACTAGACATAGAATTAAAACAAAATAAAATGGCGCTATATGAATATCAGAATGCCACCCAACTAGACAGAATTAAAACAAAATAAATTGGCGCTATATGAATAACTGGACGCCACCCAACTAGACATAGAATTAAAAAACAAAATAAATTGGCGCTATATGAATAACTGGACGCCACCCAACTAGATAATAGAATCAAAACAAAATAAGTAAGCGCTATATGAATAACTGGACGCCACCCAACTAGACATAGAATTAAAACAAAATAAATTAGCGCTAGATAATTACCTGGACATCTCCCCTGCCCACCTGGGCAAATAAACGTTAACAATTCAACTTTGTATAAATATGAATATGTCGATCAAACCAGTGGTAAAAATTAAAACAATGCAAGTGAGTACTAGATCTATATGAATAGCTGGACGCCAGCCAAACTGCTGGTAAAAATTTAGACATTGCTATATGAATAGCTGGATGCAAGCCAAATACCTGGTGGTAAAAATTCGGACAATGCACGTGGAAACTAGATCTATATGAATAGCTGGACGCCAACGAAACTGGTGGTAAAAATTTAAAAAATGCAAGTCGGCAATATATCTATATGAATAATTGAACGCAAACCAATTACATGGGGGAAAACCTGAAGACATTAAACTGCAACACACATGTCACCTAACAGGAATTTGACAGACATTGCAAAATGACGCCCATATTTTCGAAGCTATGCAAATGTATAATGTAAAGTATGTTTTATTGTTTTTTATCAAAGAACACACAACTTGAGAGTAGAAGCTGCTACCACGGTTCAAAAGGCGGAAGTTCTGCCCTATCTCTTTGTCTTTGTGAAACCTGCTGGTCGAATCGATTAGACGTTACGCGTATCACTCGGTGTTTATGGACAAGGCGAATTGGCTTTGATGCAGACGTGTGGCCTTGATTCGTTTCTTAACTTAGTTCACGTAATGCTCTTTACTCTTGTCGAGCATAGGGCCTCAACCATAACCTTCAACTGTCCAAATTATGCAACCCCCCAAGACATCCTTGCTGTCTTCAGCTATTCAAGAAGACTCCGCTTCCAGGTCTGTCTTGGGCGCCCTTTCTTCCGCCTTCCCTGGGAGTTCTACTCCAGCGCATGGCGTTTCATATTTGAGTGAGACGTTCACTGTCTCCCACCCAACGCTTTCTTATTTGAACTGTCATGGTCTACTGCCTTGTCCTCCACAGGTCCATGTTAGGAGTGAGACGTTCACTGTCTCCCACCCAGCGCTTTATTATTTGTACTGTCATGGGCTCCTGCCTTGTCCTTCTCCGTAGGTCCATGTTAGGCACTTTATCCTGCCACTCAGAATCTGTCTGAGACATTGGTTAATGAAAATCGGTATCTTGTATATACCGGTCTTGGTGACTAGCCGTGTCTCTGCTCTATATAACACAACTGCCTTGACTTTTAAATATAAAATTCTGTTTTTTGTTGTGCTGGAAGATTGTAGGATTTGTCCTCATGAGTCACAGTACTGTAAAAGTGCAGCGGTCTCTATTAACTTTTGCTAGGATGATCTCGTCTAGACTCGAATTCTCTTTAAATATAATTTTTTTTTGTCTTTACACAGAAGTCTACATCTGTACTTCCCAGAGTTTCTTCCAGGCATCTCACCCCCCCCCCCCCTCCCGAAGAAAGTCTACCACCCCCCCTGAACGAAAAGAAATTTATATAGAAAATATATACTTTTAACAGTGTCCGCCCCCCCCCCCCCTCGAAGAAAGTCTATCCCCCCTTCCGAAAATTTCAAGCCCCCCCCCCCTACGGAGAAAAAGTCTGGAAGAAACACTGGTACTTCCTCGTTAGAAATTTCAAACATTATGTCTGTATAATGTATAATCGTATTGCTTTTTCTAAAAGCGAACTAAAATTACGTGAACCAATCAGCATGAGATAAAACAAAATGGTGACTAGCCTGGTATCTGTGTGAAGATGTAACCATAGAAGTACATAGACAGAAGCTCAGACCGAGTGCTTTTGCTCCAATCAAACTCAGCTCTCTAGTGTTGGAGAACAAGGATTATTATTGGTACTACCGAAGACATACAGTATGGATAAGTTTATACTGTTAACTGTTGATATGGGAAAATAATAAAATATTAAGGTCGAGGGGGTGACACCAAACCAAAAATGCCAATTCGTTCGTACGATATGGGGTGACACTCTCAGTGTAAAGATGTGTGCTTTTTAATATGTTATATGAGTGTAGTTGCTTAATGCTGTTTAAATGTTGAAAATAACTCAAAGGTTTAAAAATATTATAAATTAAACAAGAATTTAAGAATGTTTAACTTTTTTTCTTCTAAAGAATAGACTACGATGTAGTGATTAATGATAGCTTTTATGTGATTGGTGTTTGGCTAACGTTTCACCTTATACTAAATCTTATGGCATTGTGTGTTTATTTTTGGCGTTATGGAGTGGTAGAGCTTGCAACTACAAACTCGAAAGTCTCAAGTTCGGATTCCGGGCTCGAGTTTCGAGGACGACCTTGGGTCCACTCAGCTCTAATGGGTACCTGACTCACGTCATGGAAACAAAAGCGGCTGGACATAATGCTGACCACACTATCCCCTCCTCTGCCGAGGTCATCGATGAATTCTACTCAGTGCGAGGTGTCACCCGGTGCGGCGTAGCGACCCTTTTAATTTTCGATTTGCACCCCCCCCCTCAAACTTTCGATTTGCACCTCTTAAAAGAATAACACTCGAATTAATCACTTTATTAAGTGGAACTATCGTTTTTCTCTTTATATTTTGCTATTTTTTGCCTTGGTGTCACCCCCCTAAATAGTGTCACCCGGTGCGGTCCGCACCCCCGCCCCCCCCCCCCCTCGGTACGCCTCTGTTTCTACTTAATCTACTCCGTTTGTCTAAGCCACAAACAGGAAAAGATGATGGTATTTTATTGGGGGGGGGGTTAGGTTTAAAATTGTTATTAGATCTATTGTTAACGGTTATCTAATTATTATTTTTGTATACGTTTTCCTGGCTCAGTACAAAAAACTGCTCTCACATCGTTTGTGCTCTTGTCCACGCCCATATCGCTGTCACCCCCACACACGTCATCCGTGACGTTGCCGGAAGTGACGTGACTCAGGTTGGCGGACGTGACGTTGAGGGGCGTGTTCCTCACCATACAGATGATGGCGACAGAGATGTTGACTCGGGTTGTGTAGATCAGGACGTTGCCTATAAAAGCCAGGAAGGCGAGGACCAGCCTCTGGGAGCAGAAGAGGGGCGCTGGGGGGTTGGGAGGGGTGGGGGGGGGGTTTGGGGGGAAGGCGGGAGGGTTTACAAAAGATCAATGTATGCATCATTAATAGTACAAACTTAATAGATTTAGACTTCTTCTGCGTTCTTTATTTAGATTATGGTAGAGGATTTAAACAACAAGTCCAACTTCGTGTATGAACGCGGGTGCCTCATATTAACTCCCAATTCTATCAAAACCAATCAGTTTAGAAGACAATTAAGTACATTTAAAAAAAATTGAAGTAATTAATTAATATTATTTTAACGTACTTTTTATTATTTAAACAAAATCACTTTAAATGGTCATCCTAATCGGTCCCCTTAGTACACAAAACAGAGTCAATCTTTTTCAATGACCTCGGCATATGAAGGGATAATGTGGTCAACACTATTCCCAGCCGCTTTTACTTTCCCTAACTGAATACTACATAAGTTTACCAATTTGTTAATTACTTCAACTTTCAGGTGTTAAAAGTTGAAATCAGATGTGTTTGAAATATTTATAATTAAATAATTGTGAATGAGTGAATGTACACATCGGAAAGAAGAATTAGGGGCCTCCTATTTTAAATCTGCAGGAGGTACCACAAAATGGTGATGACAAATGTAACACTAACGCGACTAAGGGGGGGGGAGGCAAAGTGACGCTATACATTAGAGCAGGTGTCGGCAACCTGCAGCTCTTTTGGTGTCAGGATGCGGCTCGCCAGTTCCATAATAATTATATTATTTTATTTTCATAACTGATAAAATTATTATACTGTAAAATCAACTTTAAACAAGATAAAAAACACTAAGAGTAGGTGGAGTAGATCGTATACAGACAGCTGCTAGGGTACTAGGCTCAGCTCCACAACTGTGTTGTGGCCAGCCTCTTGGAAGCTAGTTCCATGCTTTCAACAACCTAAGTGCACACATTTTTTTTTCTAATATTCTGAATAGTAATTTTTTTAAATTCTGAAGGCATTTTTTAATGTGTCAGTGTGCATTAATTTGACTTTAGTGACATGGTTTTTAGTTTTTAGCTTCTAAATTGGGTAGGAATGGTGCTATAGCTATATAATTTTATTTTATTATCATAGTAAAGCTAGCTTAAATACTTTATTATGTTCTGTGCGAAACATGTTTTTATATGAATAAATATTTTTTTCATACTTAAAGGCATTTATTTTAAATTTAGTTACCTAATCCTAATCAAATACCATCAAATATTGAAAAATAAATTGTTAGTGGCTCATT